GTTATATAAAACCTTAGGTCTAACCCTTAAAACAAAAAACACATAATATTGCATCAGTGGCGTTCGTGCGAGAATACCACATACTTAAAAAAATGGTACGCCACTGACTTTTTCCCGTTTTGATATTTTTTTAGAAATCGGCCATCAATTCTAAATGAAATTGGACTCTACAATTTTTTTCGTATGATGCACCGTTTTTGAGGAAATAAATAAAACATTTTATTGCAAGTTGTGTATTTTTAATTTCTATTTATACATTATCTTGCAGGTTGCTGTCAATATTTCTAAATAAAATACAACCATCAAATTTCAAGTCTTAAAAACCTCCTTGAAATAACTAATAAAAATAAATAATGAATTTAAACACTATCTCGGAAACGAAGCATATTTCAACCTACGTTTATATGAACTTATTTTCACAAAATAACTTCGGCAACTACCCCCTAAAATATTTCGCACTTATTTATCAGCTTTCCTTTCAAAATCTAAATCTAACGCTGTTGCAAAATCAATTATTCCTTCACAGAAGATAGAACTGATCTGTACTAAAGATAATAATCAGTATTAGATACTTGTTTTGAAAGTTTTACATAATTCGAACCATAAGGTTGAATTTCTTGTACTAGGTAAGTGAACTAGAGTCTAGACACATCAATACACTTTACTTCAGGCTCCCAGGAGCATGCGTGTTTCTTATGTGATGTGACGTATCCAGAGACAACTTTGATGTTATCATATTTACGATTTAGATCGATTTCTTATGTGTTATATACAAAAAAACTTACCTGAATTAAATTAATTGATTAGTTTAAAAGGTTTATTAATAATCAGGAAATGAGCGCACACTGGGAGCCTCGAGGAAACTGTCTGTCACCTGCCTCTAGACACTATTGGTAGATGCGGCATATTGTTTGACGACAATGTTGATTGTTGGTGGTTCATGTCGATATACCAATTCGCTCTTGTTATATGATGGTACTGAGTAGTGTTTATGGATTCTCTGTACAACATGAACTTAACCACAAGTATTTCGGATCATTTTTTTTAAATCTTGGTTCATATTTCCAATAGAAGTCAGCGGAACTATCTCAAACATTTCAATAATGCTACAAATTTATAATTGTTAAGCAAACTGTTAACATTTGATCCGTATCTTCAGAATAACAAAAAAAATTGTTATATTTATTAAATGGAACATCCTGTATTTGAGTGAACAGTTATATTTTACATGGAATTATGCAACTTTTTCGTAATAGGTATTATGTGAAAAATCAGGCGTTTCCGAGATATTAATATTTTAATATAAAAAATTACATTTTCCGCCTTATACTTGATCGTTACTGATACTCGTTTTTTGACATACAATCTAAGCAATCGTCACACATATTATACTAGGTTCACCGTAAATTCTGACGTGGTCACCGTTTATAAATGTCATACAGGGTTTTCATAAAATCGTAACAAATGTTATCTTTTTCAAAGGTAAAAATTTTGTTTCTTTTAAATAAGATGTCAAACATCTTCCCAAAATCTACAACTTTCATAATAGGTTTGAAACAAAGAAGCATCGCTTAAAATGTATCTTTACTTTTTGCAGAAAAGAACAATGATCCGAAATTATGCAGCTTTCTTATTCTTATTGAATTTTTAGAGATAAAACACAGTTTTATTAAGTGTTACAATAGATGTTCAAAAATATTTCCTCTTTCTCGAATACACAAGTTATCTTATTGTCTTATTGTCTTGACAAGTTGTCTTATTCTATTTATCACATCGTCACGAGTGGCTCTCTATACATATACCCTGTCTTTTACAAACCCCCACGAAAAAAATCAAGTGGTCGGCAACTGGCGGACCGCGGTCCAGATCCGGACCGCGTAAGGTAAAATACTGGACCGCCAAAAACTTTTTGAAATAATAAATTACTCAAATAAATTATTTAAAAAATGTTTTTTTTACGTTTAAATGCCAATCTTATCATTTTTTCTAGTATTATACAATTGTGTGTGTGTGAGTCCTTAATGGTTAGTAAGCAGATTAAATTTGAGTCCAAATTAAAATAAAAAAAAATATTTTGAATTTTTTTGGACCTCGTTAAAAATTTTCAAAAGTATCCGGACCCCACCCAAAATTACTTGCCGACCCCTGATCTATAACCATAAATTTGATCGAGATAGGCTCGGCTTCTTCTCTTGAGAAATTCATTACGAACAAGTAAGAACAAAGTCATACAAACAATATTAATTAACTAGGAATAACTATTTGAATCACAGAAAACAACAACAACTACTTCAACAGTCAAAGCTAACGACATGACAGGTAAAGCTAATGACAGTTACAAACATTTCTTTTGTTTCACAGCCATATCAATTGCTAAAAATATCGTAAAATATGAGGAACTGATATATAACACCTATTATGAAAGTTGTAGATTTTGATAAGGTCTTTCATATCATGTTAAAAAATAGAGGGTATTCCATTTGAAAAAAACAAAATTTTTGCCTTTGAAAAAGATAACATTTGATACTATTTGTGAATACCTTGTATGACAATATGTGTGACGATTGCTTAGATTGAATCTCAAAAACCGAGTATATCAGCAAAGAATTTTACCTCAATATTATATAGCGATAAATCAACTTTGCCACAGCGTTGACTCACCCTGTACATATAATATTTTAGAGCCTTTGTAAAAGTAAATAAAAGAACAACCTGCTTTGTAAGAGTGAATATATCAAAGTACCAGATCTTTTCTGGGACTCAAAATAGATGAATTGCTTTGTTCTGTTCAGTGGCAGCAATTTTTTTCACTTACGCAACATTCTCCTTTAGAAATCCTTCTTTAGGAGTTTTGTAACAAGAAATAGTTGTTATATGCTCTACTTGTCCATTATTTATCTGTCATTCGGATTTGAACTGATAATTTCGTAGTATATCTTTATTCTTTCACGTATAACGAAGTGTTTTTTTATTTAACGTGATGATAAAAAATCTAGTGTTACATAATGTTGCATCAAGTGCTTTAAACTAAGTTCTAATGATACATAAATGGAAAGGGTATTTGTTATTTTGTTTATTTTTTCGAAAGTTTGGATACATTTATATAACAGTGTTTTCAATGAGTATCTAATGGTTGTCAGCATAACTAATCTGATAACTCATGATTCAATAGAATTTTTTTTATATATAACCTAATAAATAGATTGTTATGTAAATATACGTACAATAAATGTTGTAAAAATTAAATTTCTGTTCTAATACTTGTGAAAAAATATGTTTTTTAGTTAAATTTAGTGATTCATGGTTTGACTTCGTATGTTACTTGAATTGAAGTGAGTCAAGTTCACAATTAAATATAAATATGGGTCAATATTGTTGTATGCTGTGATACCAACTAATCTTTCTTGAATAGCAATAAAAAAAAATTGTGAAAGTAACTAACGACCTATATTTAAAATTTCAAGTTATAGATTTTGTCTAAATATTGCGGAAGAATATTTTAAATGTCCTTTAACTAGCAAGGAAAATTATGTTAACAAGCAAATCACTTATAGTTAAAAAATACAATGCATTTGCAGTCTTATTAATAAAATATTTTCTGTTAACTTGCCGGTTAAATGTGACAGTCCCATTTTTATAAAAAGCTAATTATTTTGTCAAGGATGGCGATTTCTAACAGTTTCTCATGTACAGAAAGTGCATTTGCTACAGCGGTTGCATTTTTATTCGTGTCCGATTTTAATTAATAATGTAGCAAACGCCTACTCAACTCTAGAACTATTTAAATACTTTTAATGCAAATGAGACTTTATATAAGTGATATTTGTTTATTTTTACAATGCAAAATTTGTTAGATTTATTTATTGTGGTACAAACAATTTAATCTTTCTATTTTAGTTCATGTTCTCAGATTGCCAGTACTATTTGTTACAAAAATAAATTGATATAAAAATGGTTATTATTTTTCACTTTGGTATGTTTTGATTTATTTAAATTTTTTATTATTATTTTATATATTATAAAAGAATAGAATTTTATATATTTTGGCATGAATAGTTTGCAATTTCTTTTGCATAATTCATCGTTAATTATTTAAAAAATTAGTAGATCATCATCAGATACTTAGTAGATATCACAAGTCGTATCACTCTTTCAGTATTTTTGATTAGCTAGGAAACACCAAAATATTGTAACAAGTTTCCTTTAAATCTGTTAATTCATGTAAATGATACAATTAAAAAATTTTTCGACCTTTCACGTTTACGTGTCTATACTTACAAATAAAAGGTGAGCGTTCAAGGATTACTCTTAGAGATAATTAAATATTTTTCTAGTTATTGTTGGAAAATCCTTCGCTGAAGAGCTGAATATATTTATTTAGTGATGTTTTGTATACATTTTTTAAAATTTAGCTATTATTTGTGAATTTGAAAATTGTTTTATATCCGTTCTTACAGATAATATAAAATCAGTTAGGTACAGCCATAGATCTTTTAGTTTACAAGGTCTATGGGTACAACTTGGACATTAGGCAACACACAATACACTAATCCTGTATATCGTATGGAAGGTTGCTCATTGTCTTTCTTCGGACACCTTTTTTATTTTTAAAATCTTTTAAAGTGGAAATTTGTATTACTTATTTTATTGATAAATATACTTACCACGAATAATATTTTTATTTTTACCTGGATTAGTATATCCCATAAATATAACAAATAAGTAAAAAAGGTTCAAGGTATTTTATATTTACTACAAATTACTTTGTAGATATCTTGATGTAAGAACCTACGTACCTATTTTGTTGCTATTTTTAATAAGAAGCTTCAACTTCATGAACTCCCACTAATGCTTTGGTTATACATTTCATGAGTTAATAATAGTCTTGGGCTTTGTTCTAAATTAATAAAAACTATGAGACAAGTTCTATGAAAATATTTATTATACACACAAAGAAAAAATTAAAAACGAATCAAATAGTGAAATGATACATCCAAGAATATATTTATAAAATAAATAATAAATGGCAAAATAAATATATAATAAATAATAAATAAATATTCCCCCAATTATCACCAAAATCATTTAAAAGGCTAAGTTTCGTTATCTGATAATACTGGTCGCAGCTTAGTAACGTTAGAAGATAAAGTTGGTTTATCTTCGACGTTTGTGTCGCTAATGTTGACGTAAATTGGTTTCAATGTAGAAGTTTCTACAATAGTAGAATTTGGTGTTATTGGTTTCACTGTAAATATATCAGAATCCTCGCAATTTCTCCCGTATGTGCCTTCTCTGCACAGGCATTTGTAACTTCCATCTTCCTTTATTAAAGATATACATTTTGCCCCGTTTTTGCACGTGCTGGCATTCTTCTCGCAGTAGTTCAATTCTGAAATAAATAAATAACGAATTTCTGTTTGTTGATAGTAACGTTTTAAGGTAAGTATTTAATTCTACAATATTCAATTGAATTGAATTGAAAAAAAAGAAACGGTAAATACGAACCTTCATCGCACAGCATTCCACCCCACCCTTTCTTGCAATTACATTCCCATGGACGATTGCATGTTCCATGGACACATCCGGGGTAGGCAAAGCACTTTTCACAATTCTTGCCCCACCATCCCACCTTGCACCTAAGTCATGAAAAATTATTATACATGTGTATGTATACAGGGCGTCAGTTTAATGCGAAATATTTATTATCTTAAAATTATAGCAGAAATTTACTTTTAGGACGTCATATATCACGTACGACTAGACCATTTTAAAAATATTTTTAATTATACAGGATGATGAGTGGTAGATATGTTTTTCATTCATGGAATCATAAAATGCTGTAACTTCAAAAATTAAAATAAGTTCGAATATATTTATACAAAATATTTCATTTTCGGTAAAATTTTCTGTTTCAAAAGAAAAAAAAAATTTTTTTGTTATATGTTATTAGTTTGGCGTTAAATTTTCTTTTTCCCGATGTAGACATTGTAACGGTTACCTGTACAACTTTTTGAAATTTGCCTCTTTTACTAAATTTCATCTAAAAATACATATTTCATTATTAGCTCTAGAATTTTTACTTTATCTTAAAGGTACTAAGCTAATTCAGGTATATTCAAAAATTTTCCTAAAAATCCTTACAAATACAGTCAAATGATGTTTTTCGAGACCAAAAATTTAGTATGCAAAAAATATCTAAATTCGTAAACAAGTTCTTATTTGATGATATTGTGGGAAGCTACTATCCTACTTTATTAATATAAAAACACACATCTGACATATTGAAATAATTATTTAATAATGTAATTATGTATATTTCATACAGATCAATACGTAAAAGTAGCCAAGATAGAAAGATCTTAATATCTCTATATCTTATCTAGGACTGAGTTTTCACGAAGCCTCCCTGCAAATGGAATTAATAAACGTTAATATTTATACTTTTAGAAAAAATGAAATGTTGAAATGACTGTCAAAAGTGTTGACAATATGATTACATTAATTTGAATTACTTTTTAACTTAAGCAAATTTTGCACTTTGTACTAAATTTCTATCTTATCTACTTTTCTTATTAACCCTCATATATTTCAGTACTTTAATTTAAAGGAATTAAGCTAATTTAAATAAATTCAAAAACACTTCTAAAAATATATATTATACAGGATGTATCATAATTAATAGCGAAGCTATTAATTATAAGAACAGGATACTACAAGCAAAAAAGTCTTAGTAAACATGGGTCCCCAAACGCACCGTTTTTGAGATATGTGGTGTCAAAAAATTTTTTTTTTCAATTTCTTAAACGATATCTCAGGAACCGTTTTATAACAAAAGCCGGGACGCGCAGTCATTTATTTATTAGTTTCCAGAACGGATGAGCAAAAAGTAAAATACTCTTGTCAACACAAATTATCGAAAGTTGAGGGCTTTCAAGTAGGTATGTAGTAGGTCGACAAGACCATCCTTCGGGGAAGGCTTCACGAAATTTATCAATATTTGTAACAAGTTCGCTTAGAGTCAGGGCCATATGGTAGTCATCTGGTGCGTCTGGGAGACGCCGCGTAGAACCCCCATCTTTTTAATAACGCGCGAAACCGTGAGAAAGACCGTAGAAATTCCACCTTAGAATTAAATTATATTGTAAAATTGATAGTAATTCGAAAAGAGAGTATACCTAAGCAGCTGGGTTTTTTTGACGGATTTTTCCTAGCTATAAGAGTAGATTAAATGAGATCGACTAATCCGTCCCGTAAATTGCTACGCGGAGTCAGAGGGGAAGGCTAAGGTTACTAGTAAGTCATATAATTATTGTTATAAATGTAAATTCAAACAATTAGATAAATATACACGCGTCCCGATATTCAGGTTCTCGCCAATAAGATGAGAACCGAAACTTCTGGACCCAAGAAATGGGCGTGGTCAAAGCGAATTGTGGAATTCAGGAAGGATCCCGAAAAAGTCAGTTCGTTCTTAAGTTTCACATTGAGCAGACTAATTATTAACTTTATAGTCTCGTGTTAATTAATTAATTTTGATAGTTTTTCTAAATTTTGTATAGAGCGCGCATTCCCTGAATCTCGGTACGCTGTCGCGATTGAATGTGAATCAATTAATTAATAATGTCGTCGAGCCGTTGTGTTTTTATTTTGTTTGTTTGTTTTGTTTATTGTTAATAAAACCCTTCCTGGAAGTTTCGTGTTTCCTTTGTTTCTCCAACTTCAGTGCTACCCTGTATAGCCAGCCACTGGATTACATCCCACGTAAGCAATGAAAGGGTAAGTGCTTGGAAGTAATTTTCTGAACATACAACATTTATAAGTTCCCACGTGTTAATTAAAGTATAACAATAACTAAATAAACTCCCTTTCGAGCATTAAATAAATAATTAATTAAAGGTAGATAATTAAAGAAATAACCCCTCAGGTTACAGTTTGAGATAAAGATAAATAGCCTTTCATGACGGAAACATGAAAGAAAGTGGCAACATGCACGATGCAAAAAATAAACAACAAAAATCACAACAGTTGTTGAAAATGGCCTGCTTCTACGGTAATGCAGGCTTCCAACCTATGTCTATGTAAGTCACTCAGACGTAGGTTGGAAGCGTGCATTACTGTAGGAGGAGATAATTTTCAACTGTTGTGATAATTGTTATTTATTTGCTTAGTTTTGAAACATATTTTTTTATCATGATGCCACTTTATTTTCGGTTCTCGTTAGTACTTTTGATGATGAGTACCTTTTTTTTGTAGAAAATAGGCTTTCAAAACGCCAATTTTCCCAGAGTCGTAAAAATTAGGGGCAAAATAACCTCACGCCATCTTAAAATCTCCGCCACTGTCATATGAATAAAAATTGAATTAGTGCTCAAAAGTAGCTAATATTAATACGTGTACAACATTTATCTCAAACGGTTTCTGATATATCGTTAAAAAACTGAAAATAATTTTTTGACACCCTATATCTCGAAAACGGTGCGTTTACGAACCCATGTTTACTAAGGCGTTTTTTGTTTCTAAAATGGTGTATTTACAGCTGTTATATATACGCTATTAATTATGATACACCCTATAAAAAAAAATAGTTTGTTATACATTCACTATTTTTAAAAACCTCCAAGAAAATTCCAGGAGTATTGGTTGTTTATTATTATTCATAAAAATGTAGTTTATGAATTTCAATTCGCTATTCAAAATTTCATAATAATGAATTGAAATTGCCGAAGGAAAGTAATACCACTAAATGAAAAATAAAAAGGACGACGATACAAATACTAAATAAAAGAAGTAAGTAATAATTGAATAAACATCATTAGGATATTTTTAGCAATGCAAACAGACAAAGAGGAATACATTGAAACTGTAAAGAATAGTTTAAAGCCAAACGTTATTCTCAGTTTTACAAAAGGAGAAACGATTGATTTTCGAAATGTTAATAAATTTATTGAAGTGAGAGATATGAAGCGATGTGTTTTTTGTATATTTTATTTCTTAATTTTTTTCAGTGTGAGATTTTTTTGGTTAGGCAAAACTAATTTCGTATAAATAACCCTTTTGCCGCAAGGGTTTTATTTCATTAATTTTAAATTTCTTCCACAGGTGGCAAAATACAAAATAAATAAAGAAAAAACGAAAACCATAAATAAGTAACTTCGGAAAATATATTTTTCAATGTCATTATATAAAAAAAAATGTAAACGGCAAGTCCCTAACAATGGCACATTTTTGTAGCTCTTGAAAAATATACTTTAGATTCACTTGCGTCCAACCGGTTTTTATTTTCAAATTTCTCGAAGACAGTACAATAAATGCAGCATAAGAGGCATTTTTGGAAAAATTTTCCAAGAGCTATACAAAAATAATCTCTAGCTAGAACGTTAACATTTACGATTAGTTAGTTTCGGCGACTGGGATCAGCAGGGTGGAAGTAAAACATAAATTGTTAAATCATTAGAATTCCCTGCTGTCCCATAGAAACGATTTTGAGCAAATTTTCGTATTTTCTTTAGTTCGAAGATAGAGCCGTAGCCAACTTTTAAACATATTTCCTGTGTAGAATTAGAATATTTAGCATAGTTTGTAGACTGTATTATTTTGTAACAATTTAATTCACTTCCGATAAATACTGATTATTGTAAAAGTGGAGAATGTAAACAGAATCGATATAAGGCTATACATATTTTATTTAACACTCACCTACATTCGCCAGGTTTCCTGCAATAGCCTCGATCTTTATGGCACGTCTTTGAACAAATCGCTAAAAATAAACAGCAAATGTTTAATAAGCAAAGCGTGCACCGTTACTGTGAATTTTTTATGTAACTGAAAATGCTGTTAGTTACTATTCCAAGTTTCACGAATACCTGCTATTTTGTGTGAATAATTTATGTAATCGACGTAGGTCTGTCCTGAATTTGAAGTCAATTACAATTAAATACTTATTGGAAAAAATGAAACATATTTAACTTTATTTTCAGAGCTACCATAAAAATATACATATATATTGTTCTGGAAAACATAGGGTGTTATTATTTTGAAAATTTATAAAGCAGACAAAACTATAGATTATTGTTTAATTTAAGTTTCTCTTCTTGAATCATTTTTATTATTACTTTATTACTCATATTTTTTTAAAATTGCAAAATGATTTTTTTTATTTATAATTTTATTTAAAGAAAACAATTTGGAAATTATTGAATCATGCAAGTGAAAAAATTACTTTTTCTAGCTAAAACCTATCCTAAACTTTTACAAATATCAATTCTTATTGAACATACTATTACAGGTCTCGAATCCGATTCTTACTACTCATTGTCTTCTTCTTTGAGACACTTGGTATCTTGATAGTCTGGTATTTGTTTGCACTGCCGGATATGTTGATTTGCCTGGTATTTTTTAATGTTGGCAAGACGAATACCAAATTTACATGCAGATCACACCTTTCTAACTAACACTTTTACAGCTATTTTTCTTACATAAATATTGTTCTTACAACTACTTTTTTACAAATTTTACAACTATCTATCCAAATTCTTTCTTATATTAATTGAATTTGTTTTTTCTTAATTTTTTATATGTACTGCAGAGTACTCATGTAATTTTTACAGGAATTTAATTTAAACTCTTTGATATGGAAATTTTGGTCATTACATGGTGTGTTGAGAAATTTTGTAAATTCTGATAACTAAAAATGCGGTAACGTGTTTGCGTCTTGTGCTCTATTCTGGTTTTCGCAGCTGAAGGAGAGGGTCCAATGAATATATTTTGTTATTTACAAAATAAGTAACTTTTTTATTTATTTATAGCTGTAAAACTTTTAATTCGAATTTTTATTTAAAATAAGCTTTCTTATTCTTTGTTTATCTATATGCATCTAATTGGAATATTTATAAGTTCATATAACAGCTGCTTATAGCTCATTGTTAAGATGTTGAAACAGTATTAATTGTTGTTTCTATCTACACATAAAAGATACATGTTTTTATTACTTAAATCGGTATTATCCAATTTTATATAACATTATAGTTATAATATTACAAAAAGATACAAGGTGTTTCATAACTCTACCGACACAGAGCAGGTACGTGTAGAGGATCTTAAAATATGCTGATTTGTTGTGTAATATTTTTCTCTGGGATGAATAGATATTGGCCGCTGAAGATGAATGTTAAATTTTGAAAAACAATATTAATTCAGCAATACCTTAACACAGAGCAACCAAATTTGTTAAATGATTTGCGTTTATTGTTATCATTAATTGTTAAACATATGAATTTGTTGGAAGCCTAATAAGGGCCGGACTAGGGGCAGGGCGCCCTTAAAATTATAACGATTTTTTTATCAATGTGCCAATTATTAAATAGTTTTACCAGTATTTTACAGGAAATTTAATTTAAAAAATTTTGTACTCTTACAAATTTTTCGAAAAAATAACGGTTTTTGAGAAATCGGGATTTTGTGAAACATCGTCATTACTAGTTGAATCGGACAAAGAGTAGGTAGGTATGCAGTTTTACGACTTCTAGGCTATGATTTCATGTGTCGACAAAGTGCACAGGAGTGCCGAGGAAGATTCCCTGATCGTTTGATACCACACCGGAGGACCTTTGCTAATGTTGAGAGGAGGGCTCGAGAGACTGGATTATTTCTAGTCAACAACAAAGGAAGACGTGTTAATTATGCCGTAAACGCACGAAAAGAGGTACGACAATAAACGCAAATCATGTAAAAATTTGGTTGCTCTATGTTAAGGCATTGCTGAAATATTATTGTTTTTCAAAATTTTACACTGATCTTCAGAGGCCAATATTTCTTCAACCGTACATCCCAGCAAAACATGTTAAATAACAAATCAGCATATTTTAAGATCACGTGCCTGCCCTGTGTCGGTAGAGTCTGAAACACCCTGTATAATCCCATTTACAGAAATATAATATTTTAGTATCCTTTTCTGTTGCACTTATTTGTGCTTGTTTATATTTAAATTATAGGAATTAGATTAATAAATTTATTGATTTTTATATTACCAAGCAATCAATTACTATTCGACCTTATTTCATATTAAAAAGTTAAGAAGTTAACCGTGCCCTACTATAATAGACCTAAACCTACGTAATTTCACTATAAATGGCATCATTCCATGTTTCTAATATTGAGAATGTTATTCCAAGGACATAAATAATAAGATCAATGTGAAATTATATTTGCATGTGAGTCTAGCAAAATTAATTCAATAAACTAGTCCTTCCGTTTATGTTGAAATAGAAGTTGTTGTCTTTTTGTTACAAAATTTTGCTCAGTGTGAAGAATAATGTATCAACAGGAAGTTTGGAGAGCAAACCAGTGATATGTGTGGAGAGTATTTGGAAATATAAGAGGACATGATGCTCGGAGCTTGCTAAAAGCTTGATGTTTTTATATATCAGAATATTTTTTTTTGTTTTTCCAGAATTTGATTATAGACGATATAATTGATATGTATGTAATGAAAAACATAGGATCAATGGCTAGCCATACACTGCGAAACTTTTTAATAGATTCTATCTGCCGGAACGAGGCCATCGACCCAGTTGAACCGTCGTCGGATATAATTCATAGCTGGACAAATTCCTTCTATTAACGGAAAATATCCATCAATTTTGAAGGAACTGGTCAACGACAGTTCTAATAATTTTTCTGATGGCGCATACAAACAATATTTTGTTGGTGGATCCGATTTGAGATCCAACTAAAAGTTTTCTGTTACGATAGTAAACTGCTTTCTTAGTTTATATATTTTATGCCTACAGTCCTTTCCTTTTAATGTAATTTTGATCTTATGGTTTTAATTTTATCGAAATTTATTTGCCAAAGTGAAGAAAATGAGATTACTATTCCAAACAAATTTCTGGTTACACGGTTTGTAATAATTTTTGAAAGAGTATTGCAATTTTAATAGTTGGGGTGCAGTTGCTTGCTATATATTTTAAAAATAGATGTTTGAAATGGAAAAAAAATGAATCGTTAATATTTAGCCATTTGGAAAATAGTTGGGTCATTAGGAATTGCACGTAGCATTTGCACTTTGTGCATCAATATTTAAAGTATATTTAAGAAGTAACAAAATTGATATAATGGATCATGTTCACATATTTAAGTAGTTGATAAACATCAGATCACAATCGCTTAATGAAGTCCACTTGTTTTCGTAATCGGGCTTGCCCCAGAAAGGATAAAATTATTTAAATAAAAAATAAATATTCCGTTGGAGTATGGTCGATTATTCAGTAGAGTAATCGCCTTATGTAAATGCCTTCATTGCATCTCAATCTGCCGTTATTTTCATGTACGAAGAATTCAGAAAATGTGATTTTAAGATCATTAAATCCTCAGGTATTTATTTTAGAACCGTTACCTAGTTAGCCTAAGAAACATGAGACCTCTGATTGATACTTACGAGTCTGGCATAATATTCCTGTGAATCCAGGTAAACATTTACATTCGAGCGGTTTCTCACAGTAACCATGAATGCATCCTGGTAAAACCTGGCAATCTTTGCATGTTTTTCCAGACCAACCCAACCTGCACCTGCAATCTCCAGGACTATCACAATATCCTCTTGTTGCGTGACAATCAGATCTACAAATTGCTGTAAAAAAGAATGTAATTACTAAAAATTTGTATACAATAGTATCATAATAATGGGTTTCCTAAAAGTAACGTAGGGTTTGAATTCTGCGCCATTTTCATCCCGAAGAGTTGGCAGCATTGCGCATGATACATGTTGTAGTAAACACGTTGCGGTTAGACAAAATGGAGCGCTATATGAGTGAGTGAGTGAATATTGTGAAAATTTATCACAAGTACGGAGAGTATGTAGCTGAGACTGTGTGCAAATTACGTGGAATTTTCGGTAGAAGGAACGTCCCGAATGAAACAACTGTGAAGAGATTAGTTGCCAAATTTAAACAAACAAGTTTGATTGTGGACAATAAAAGAACAAGCCGGCCTCGTACTGGCCGTTCAGCCGGATATACTGCTACGGTGAGTGATAGTGTGGTGGAAATTCCCGTACTCTCAGTGCGCCGTCTATCACTATAATTAAACATTTCAAAAAGAACAATGCAGCGGATTTTACTTAAAAATATCTGCATCTGCATCCATTAAAGATTCAGTTAACCCAGGAACTGAAACCAGATGACCATTTAATATGCTGAATCAGATATTGGAACATCAACAAGTGAGTGAGTATGTGGGCAAGCAAAACTGTCAAATTTGGGGCAGAGATAAACATCATGTGATTTTTTCCTATGGGGATACGTAAAGTCCAAAGTTTATTTTTCTTAAATGAATACCATTCCTGAATTAAAGGCAGAAATTCGGAGAGTTGTCAACAGCATTCAGCCGTAGTTACACGATCTGTCTGATTATCCTCTTTCATATTAGTGGCAATGTCTACCCTTTAAAGACATGTAAAAACTTTGCTAACTTTTTAATTAATAAAGCCTTTTTTCCTCATATGAAATCTTGTATAAATATGTTCACACAAAATATGTCTTAGCACAATAGTATTAATATTAATAAACAGTAACACAAAATATAAAAGAAAACATGTAAAAGTGAAAACATTCTATAAAGTTTAGAGTCAGACAGTAGTCCAAAGCACAGTAGTTCTAGCACAGTAGCAACTTGTGTTAGAAAAATGTCCGTTCAACTCAAACAATTTTTTTTAATCCTAAAAACATGTTTATTTGGAAACTATAACTTTCTCAAAATTGCAGATCATGTGCCTGCTTTATGTGTCAATTTTTGTAAACTGTTTTGATCAATTTTTTTATCGGAAACGTTTTGCAGCTCAAAAGTGCTAAAAAAATTAAACATTGTATTTACACTTTTCGCCATGTACGTCACAATTACCTTTCTGTGGTCGGTTGTAGTATCTCGGCAATTACCAGGTTGTGTTGCTTCTCCTACACAGGAATGTTCGACAAACAACGGTCAAAAGCCTAAATTATTCTCTTTTTTTTAGTATTAATATAAAATAAATTAAATGAATAACTTATAAAATAATAACATTATTGAATACAATGAAAATGTAGTAGGATATGTTACAATTTACATTTTTTTTTTAATAAACTTTAACTGAAATGAAAATTGAGGGAACAAATCTAGTACGACCCTGTTAAGAACCGCGCCTCCCGAATTCTAGATCAGTTCGGCAAACGGCAGCATGCAAGGTTTTTAACNTACATGTTGTAGTAAACACGTTGCGGTTAGACAAAATGGAGCGCTATATGAGTGAGTGAGTGAATATTGTGAAAATTTATCACAAGTACGGAGAGTATGTAGCTGAGACTGTGTGCAAATTACGTGGAATTTTCGGTAGAAGGAACGTCCCGAATGAAACAACTGTGACGAGATTAGTTGTCAAATTTAAATAAACAAGTTTGGTTGTAGACAATAAAAGAATAGGCCGGCCTCGTACTGGCCGTTCGGCTGATAATATAAAATAAATATTGAGTGATAGTGTGGCGGAAATTCCCGTAATCTCAGTGCGTCGTTTATCATTGCAATTAAACATTTCAAAAAGAACAACGCAGCGGAGTTTATTAAAAAAATATCTGCATCTGCATCCATTCAAGATTCAGCTAACCTAGGAACTGAAACCAGATGCCCATTTAATGCGCTGGATCGGATATTGGAACATCAACAAGTGAGTGAGTATGTGAGTAAGGAAAACTGTCAATTTTGGGGCAGAGATAAACATGCGACTCTTTCCTATGGGGATACGTAAATGAATACCATTCCTGAATTAAAGGCAGAAATTCGAAGAGTTAGGTATCAATAACATTCAGCCGTAGTTACAGGAGAACGTGATACAGAGTTTTCTTAAAAAAAAGTTGAGTATGCCAAGTGAGTCGCGGAGAACATCTGTTTGATATCCTCTTTTTCATATTAATGGCAATGTCTACCCTTTAAAGACATGTAAAAATTTTGCCCACTTTTTAATTAATAAAATCGTTTTTCCTCATATGAAATCCTGCGTTTCTTTCGGGGTAGCCTTTATATCGGAATATGTTCACACAAAATTTGTCTCAGCACAATAGTATTAATACTAAGCAGTAACAGAAAATATAAAAGTTAAGAAAACATGTAAAAGTGAAAACATTCTATAAAGTTTAGTCAGACAGTAGTCAAAAGCAGTAGCACAGTAGGAACTTGTGCTAGAAAAATGTCCGTTTCTCTCAAACAATTTTTTTAAATCCTAAAAACGTGTTTATTTGGAAATTATAACTTTCTCAAAATTGCAGATCATGTGCCTGCTTTATGTGTCAATTTTTGTAAAGTGTTGTGATCAATCTTTTTATTGGAAACTTGTTGTAGCTCAAAATTGCTAAAAAAATTAAATATTGAATTTACACTTTTCGCCATGTACGTCACAATTACCTTTCTGTGGGCGATTGTAGTATCTCGCTAATTGCCACGTTGTGTTGCTTCGCCTACACGGGAATGTTCGACAAATAATGGCCAAAAGTCTAAATTATTCTCTTTTTTTAATATTAATTTAAAATAAATTAAATGAATAACTCATAAAATAATAACATTATTGAATACAATGAAAATGTAGTAGGATATGTTACAATTTACATGTTTTTTAATAAACTTTAACTGAAATGAAAATTGAGGGAACAAATCTAGTACGACCCTATTAAGAGTCGCGCCTCCCGAATTTTAGATCAATTCGGCAAACGGCAGCAAGCAAGGTTTTTATTACATTCCATATAAATGTTGTTCTCAAAATGTACATTAAACAAATATCACCGTAAATATGAGTCATTTTAGAATATGACCCTTACTGGGCTCATTTACATAATACCTACAATTAAAATATACGTATGAACACATTCAAGATTCACTTTGTAGTTCTTCCATCCCTATTATCTTACTTATTTGAAGAGCTAAGTATAATGCTGGGACCACACTTACGTTAACGTGTAACGTCCATTATCGCGATGATTATGGCGTTAAAAAAATAATAGATTAAATTACGCGGTAAAGTAAATAGCTACACTTGTGTCTGATGTTTACTCAACAAACAACGCATTATTTGATAAAACAACTTCATCACGAAGGTTGAGACCGCTTTGCAGTTGTATTATATGAGTGTCAATTATTATTTTATGCTTTTTGTCCAGGAACCGTTTGAAACACTTCTAAAAACTCTATTATTTTTTCGTTAGACCACTCCATTTTCATGCAACCGTATTAAACCATGCTCGAAGCTCTAATGCGTTGCAATAGACAATGCTAGTGTAGTCACATCAATGCCATAAATGACGCGCAAATAGCTTTGTGTCAAAAAAGACCGCCACTCGTGTTATCGTCTAACGTCTAACGCTATTAATAATGACGATGATAATGTAACAAAAGCCGGGACGCATGGTAATTTACTTGTTAGTTCCCGGAACGGATGGACCAACTCAGACAGTTAAATATTTCAGTCAACACTAATTATCGAAAAGTTAAGGATTCTCAAGTAGGTTTAGCGTCGCCACAAGGCCGTCCTTCGGAGAAGGCTTCATGAAATTTAGCAGTATTTTTTTTAACAAATTCACTTAGACTGTGTTGAGCATCTGGTATAAATAAAAAAAATCGATATTTCAAATAACGCGCGAGATGCATTCCAAAGAACGTAGAAATTCCAAGAATAAGTTGTTAGAAAAATAATAATAGATCAAATAGCTGGTTTTTAGGCGGATTTTCCAAGCTATAAGAATAGATTAAATGAGATTGACTAATCCGTCCTGTATTCACTAGNAATTAAATGAATAACTTATAAAATAATAACATTATTGAATACAATGAAAATCTAGTAGGATATGTTACAATTTACATTTTTTTTTTAATAAACTTTAACTGAAATGAAAATTGAGGGAACAAATCTAGTACGACCCTGTTAAGAACCGCGCCTCCCGAATTCTAGATCAGTTCGGCAAACGGCAGCATGCAAGGTTTTTATTACAGGTATTTATTACATTCCATATGAATGTTGTTTTCAAAATGTACATTGAATTGAAGGATTAAAAAAATATCATCATAAATATGAATCATTTTAGAATATGACCCTTGGGCTCATTTACATAATACCTACAATTAAAATATACGAATGAACTCATTCAAGATTTACTTTGTATAGTTCTTCCATCCCTATCATCTTAGTTATTTGAAGAGATAAGTATAATGTTGGGGCCACACTTGTGTTAACGTGTAACGTCCATTATCGCGAAGATTATGGCGTTAAAAAAAATAATAGATTAAATTACACGGTAAAGTAAAAAGCTACACATGTGTTTGATGTTTACTCAATAAACAACGCGTTATTTGATAAAACAACTTCATCACGGAGGTTGAGACCGCTTTGCAGTTGTTGAGTGTCAATTATCATTTTATGCTTTTTGTCCAGGAAGAGGTTTGAAACACTTTTAAAAACTCTATTATTTTTTCCTTATACCATTCCATTTTTATGCAACCATATTAAACCATGCTCGAAGCTCTAATGCGTTGCAATAGACAATGCTAGTGTAGTCACATCAATGCCATAAATGACGCGCAAATAGCTTTGTGTCAAAAAAGACCGCCACTCGTGTTATCGTCAAACGTCTAACGCTATTAATAATGACGATGATAATGTAACAAAAGCCGGGACGCATGGTAATTTACTTGTTAGTTTCCGGAACGGATGGACCAACTCAGAGAGTTAAATATTTCAGTCAACACTAATTATAGAAAAGTTAAGGGTTCTCAAGTAGGTTTAGCGTCGCCACAAGGCCGTCCTTCGGAGAAGGCTTCATGAAATTTAGCAGTATTTTTTTTAACAAATTCACTTAGACTGTGTTGAGCATCTGGTATAAATAGAAAAAATCGATACTTCAAATAACGCGCGAGATGCATTCCAAAGAACGAAGGAATTCCAAGAATAAGTTGTTAGAAGTTGTTAGAAAAATAATAATAGATCAAACAGCTGGTTTTTAGGCGGATTTTCCAAGCTATAAGAATAGATTAAATGAGATGGTCCCGTATCGCTACACGGAGTCACTTGAGGATAGGGTTACTTGTAAGTCCAGTTAGTCACAGAATTATTTATATAAATGTAAATTCAGTCCATTAGACAACTATTAACATGGCATAGTTATGCAAAAGCGTCCCGATATTCAGGGTTCCCGCCAGTAAGATGAGAATAGAAACGTCTGGACCCAAAAAATGGACGTGTCGAATTCAGGAGAAATCTCGAAAAAAAGGCAGTTTTTCCTTGGGTTCCACATTGAGCAGTCTACTTAGTTTTAGAGTCTCGTAATTTAATAATGGATAAAGTCATTCCAAATTTTGCTATGGATCTCGCATTCTCTGAATCTCGGTACGCTGTCGCGCGTAAATAAATAAATTAATAATGTTGTTCGAGCCCGTTGAGTCGTTATTTTGTTTGTATTGTTATTAAAACTCTTCCTGGAAAGTTTTGGTATTTCTTTTTGTTTCTTTCAACTTCAGTGTCACCCTGTATAGCCAGTCACTGGATTACAATCTACCTAAGCAATAGATGGTAAGTGCCTGAAATTCATTCTCTGCACATACAACATTTTCCCACGTATTAATTAAAGTGTAATGATAATTATAAACTCCCTTTCGAGAAGTTAATAGTACACTTTTTTGTCAATTAATACCGTTATGATATTGGTCATAGCGGTAGATAGATAGATAAAGAAATAATCCCTCAAATTACAATAAATTAGCGCTAAGTTGTGGTTACACCTACGTTTAATCCAAGACAGTGCGAGAATTAACGGCACTAGAGGTAAGTAGTGTGGCTCCAGCATAAGAAAATACGCCACTTTAAAGCCGGGTCCAGACGCTAGGTTTTGCACAACGTTTTACCCGTGTCACAAAACGGAATGAAAACGTTGCAAATCAAGAGCGTCCACACGATGCAGATATGTCTGTATTTATTCACTCAGTTTTCGCGGATTCGACCGTACGAAGCACTGCTCTGGTCAATTTTTGTAAGAAAACAAAAATTTTTCGATTAAAATTAAAAGAGACAGGAAATTTTTTTACAAGTCAATAGATTCTGTCAGAAACTCACGGGAACGTTGACGAAGATATGCTATTTTGCGATAATTTACCTATTCAAATCGTAAAACGTATCACAAAACGGAGTAAACGTCTACTTGCACCGACTTATTTGCGCAGTTGGTGGATGACTCATCGCCTTAGTTTTCCCATGTGGTGTACCGTCTCAAAACTGCGTAGTTTTCCTGTCCACAAGCAAAGTCTTGTCTGAACTGTCTTGAACTGCGCAGGTAAAACGTTGTGCTAAACCTATCGACTTAACGCATTCAAAATGAAGTTAGATTATTCAAGTAAAGGTAAAGGTAAAAAATATTTATTGTGCATAGTTATAATACAATATACAACCTATACACAAAAGGACTAGACACAGATAACTGATAATTAGCCTACCCCTCAGAAAGTCAAGTAACTTACACATATTAAAAGCAATAATATAAATAAATTATAAAGTGTTATTAAAACCATGTAAAAAACAGTATAACTTACATATACATACACAACACTCATACTTGCTTGTGCAATACACATACAAATACGTAGTATAGTCAGACTCACACTCGCACACACACGCATATTATATTAATACTAATATTAAGTCAAAAATTAAAAAGCTAAAACTAAAAAACAGCAGTATTCGTGGAGTTATCGTTTTCCATGACCAACTCACGAATGCGTTTCTTAATCAGAGCTGCATTACGGAGTGTTAAGTCTTGAGGCACCAGTACATTATTTAATATCATACCTGCTAAATAGGTGAATGAACATCTAAAATATTCAGTTCGATGACGCATTATTTGCAAATCGTGTAAATTACGAAGCTGATGATCATGTACATCATCGCCAAACCAACTTCTCATAAAGATAGTCAGGAGTTGTATTACACAGTATCTTATTTACAAAAACACAAAAATGAACATAACGTCTCTCACAGAGTCTTAATTTACCGAACTGTCTAATAAAGGGAGTAACATGGTGAAGAAAGGGTATATATGTGACAAAACGCATGCACCAATTTAGAATTTTTTGCAGTTTAAATTTATCAGCATTTATAAGTAAAGGACCATAAACATAATCACAGTAATTTAGATGAGACAGAACTAAGGGTTCGACCAATACTAATTTAATGTCAGAGCTCAAATAACGTTTTAAAGGCGCTATTTGCTTAAAGGAGATGAACGCCTTCTTACATAATTCACTAACATGTTGTGAGAATTTCAGGTCATTATCAAATACAAGACCCAGATTCTTTACTGAACTACAGTTTTCCAAAGGACAATTGTCAATATAAACAGCAAAATCCCCCAACTGTCTAGTTTTTTTATAAGTACCGATAACCAGTACCGATTTGGGTTAAGCATTAGAGCATTTTTATCGCATAACTCCTTAATCCGATGCAAGTCAGAATTAATAAGATCAACAGCAGTTTGTTTATTGTCAATTTCAAAGCTGTACAAAATTTGTAAGTCATCTGCATACATGTGCAAAGTAGTATGCACTACTGACGACACAAAGTCCGCAGTACATATACTAAAAAGTAAAGGCCCCAGGACAGAACCTTGTGGCACTCCAGATTTTATTATTCTAGGTTCAGAAAATAAAGAACCGTTTTCAGTTTTAATTCTAATACGTTGCATTCTGTCTTTAATATAGGAATCAAACCAATCATGACATTTATTATGAATTCCATAAAAAAGAGTTTGGCCAATAGGCAGCTAAAATCTATTGAATCAAATGCTTTCGACATATCTAAAAGCGTGAGGCTTAAAACCTTAGAAGAGTCGATAGCTCGTAAAGCATCATCAACCACAGCCGCAAGTACTGTTCCTGTACTAGAATTTTTACGAAATCCTGATTGGTTAGAAGGTAGAACATTATTAGAATTAAAGTGAATGATGAGCTGATTATAAATAACCCGTTCCGCAATTTTAAGGGGAACTGACAACAAAGAACATTTATCAATGGAATAAAAACAAAACAATTGTTTTAAGAAAAATACAAACGTTTCAGTTCAGATCTAAGCGAGTATAAAGCTATAGGGAAACAGTGGTAACGTTTATTAAAAATGGAAAAGATAAATTCAACAATTTGTTAAGAGGCAGTATTATAGAAATAAATGCTATATCAATTATTAGTACTGTCATTAGTACCAAATAAACAATTACTACGTCAATGGCGAAAAGAAACATTTAAAGAATGTTCCAAGTCATCTCGTCTTAAAAAAATAACCATGAACAAAGAAATAGAAACGAATGCTAAGACTTTTTTCTAACTTATTTTATGATCGTCTATGTAGCAATACTTACGCTCGGAGCAAAACAATCCATCCCACCCTTCGTGACAGATACATTCGAAGCTGACATTGCAATAGCCGTGCTGGCACCCAGGAAGTGGAATGCACTTATTGCACTTGTCGCCGTAGTAGCCCAGCTTGCACAAGCATTCACCCGGCCTGTTGCAATAGCCTTGCAGGGGATCACATCCTGGTCGGCATTTCGGCACGTCGCAGAGATCGCCAGTCCAACCCGGAAGACATTTCACTTCTCCGTCGTCTGTGCAGACGTAGTGAGAATGTTCGTTCTGCGCGGACGGGATTTCACATGCCTATGCAGAAAATTCGGTATTAAGAATGTTGAGCGCTATCTAGATTACCTGACTGTATTTATACAGGGTGTAACTATAAATGGGGGTCATATTTATACGGGGGCATGTATTTAAGTTTATATTCTCAAATTAGCTTGAACTCTGGTTCAAGTTAGAAGTCATATGCTCATTTTGTTAGGAATTAATTTGTATTTCTATAAATTTAACTTGGTAAAAATTTCAAATGTATACGGGGTGATCCAGTTTGATATTCGCGGCCCTGTATCTTTTTTATTTTAACCAATAGCTATAACAAACCCTGTATATTTTAAATCGCCGCTGAAACTCTATCAAATGACATTATTAGATCGTCTCCATGGTAACATATGTCAAAATTGCTATAGTCAACTGTTTTTCTTCAAATGGCACACTATATATTTTTTTATCGATTCTGAAAGATATTTTTTTTCTGCGTTCAGCTATGTAAGGAAGTCTATAGTTTCATTAGAAATATTGCTAGAAAAACAGCAAAAAAGATGAACCCTACTTTCAGTGGCTTTATTCTGAAAAATGATAGCCAGCTTGTTTCCGCAACTGAATTTTGACGTTCCTAAATAACGGTTTATCAAAATAATTGACATTTTGTACCTACCTTTTCTGTCTATAACAAATTATAATATAACATGAATGCTTACAGTAACCAAGAAAAACTAGATATGATTTTAATTTATGGAGAGTGCCGAAAGAACGCTAAAGTTGCCAAATATTTATACCAACATCGTATTCCGCAGAGACAACTTCCATCAGATAAAATTTTCGGAAAGTTAGCCAGGAATTTGGAGGCAGATGGAAGTTTTCAAAAGAAAAGAAAAGTTTTTAAACCCAAAAGGGCAAGAGATGAAGAACATTCGATAAAGATGTTAAATGACCTGCTAGATCACCTGATCTCACTCCTATAGATTTCGTTCTTTGGACTTATCCAAAAGAAAATGTTTACTCTTCGTCTTTAAATGATATTGACGACCTTAAAAACAAAATAAGAATAGAATGTCGTAAACGAGGAAAAACTAGAATGTGTTTGTAGAGAGGGAGTGATAAACAGTGCTATTTTGTGTTTGCAAGCAAATGGAGGTCATTGTATTGTTTTAAATTGTTATATTATTATATTATTAAAAATAAAATATGTTACTTTAAAAAAACATATCTTTACAAAGCTGAACGCAGAAAAAAAATATCTTCCAGAATTGATAAAAAAATATAAAGTGTGCCATTTGACAAAAATAGTTGACTATAGCAATTTTGACATATGTTACCATGGAGACGATCTAATAATATCATTTGATAGAGTTTGAGCGGCGATTTAAAAATATATAGGGTTTGTTATAGCTATTTGTTAAAATAAAAGAGATACAGAGCCGTGAATACCAAACTGAATCACCCGGTATATAATATATTATTGCTCCCTTTCAACTATCAAAATTTCCATTATATAGACGGTACTACAAAATTTTGTTAGCAAATTTGATAGAATAAAAAAACTGAATTTTAGATTAGTAAGATTTTTCCAATTTTTATTGTCTTTTTATTTAGTCTTATTTTATTCACTCTGAACATATTGTCTTAACAACCTTAACATATATTTTATAGAAATAGTAGTTTTCTTTTGTTGAAAATTTGTTTTTACAAAATTTCCCAAGCATACTTGATTTCATTTCTAATCAACTAGGCTTGAACGCTGCAATATAAGATTATAATATTAGGTATCTAATGTTTCTCTTCATTGCAATTTCACCCATATCTTTTCTAAAGTAAAGGGTAAGGTACTTGTTATTAAGACACTTCCTTATTTTTGTTGTATTTATATATTTATTTTTTATGTAATCTAGACAAAAATGTGACACTATTTTTGCATAACAGTGGGTATTAAGTTTTATAATAATGCACTGCAGACAGATCAGTCCACGATAATCGATATCAAAAAGTAAACTCTGATGTTTCTTAATTTTCCTTTTTTTATTAGGCGTGTTCAATCATTCAATCAATTGTATTTGGAAGGCGAGGCTGCAATACGTTCATGCTTAAATTGTTTGAACCTTTTAGGGATCATTTCCGTTTCGATTACAATACTCTTTTTTTCATCGAACAAATCTAATTTAAATGTAGTCTTATCTACTTAAGACTGCAATAGTAATACCATTGTTAGTTTTGCTAATTTAATGTATGTAATTTCAAAAGTTAAAGTTCATAGAATTTGTTTTATGAAAAAATTCACCGACTCTCCTTAGCCACATAGATATTAAAATAAATTAAAAAAAATTGAGAAATCACAGAAGACAGGTTTTGTCTGTCGTTACTCTTCAGGTTGTTAATGTTCCGCGCTTTTTTATGTTCCAAATGAAATGGTTTATACAACTTCTTCTTTTGCTTTTATTTAATATGCAGGTAGGTTCACCAAAGAGTCCAGAAATATCAATTTTGACTTATTGTGTATTCCAGTATTTATTCAATTAGCCAATTCCTTCTTTAAAAATCAAAGATCTGCTATCCAATGTCTTCCTTAATTCTTTCATATTTAAGAAATGTCTACCAAGGAATTTAAATCTGAGGAACGGTTAACATTTTCCTCGCACGGATTTATCTAGTTTTAGTTCCAATATTTACGATGTTCTTCTTCTACCTAAGACATTTTCTACCCATATCTATAGGAATGTTCATCTGTTTTGTCGTTTCCTTGTAAGTAGTTTCAAGCAAATTTTGAGCGTACCTTGTCTAGTGAGTTTGAATTTGTGTATAGAATACTGTAAGGAAGGTTCCCAGGCTATTGTTTATTTGTTGATTAGACTTCAGTCCAACTACTCCGACTTCTGTTCCATACTATACCAGGCCAAAACATAATATTTTTCAACACCTCACCACGTAAAATATGTACTTCCACTCTACTTTAAATCACCTTGTACGATGAACTTGTTTACATTTTACTTAGTATGTATGACTCAGTCTCCGTATTGTATTAGGTCTATCATACCTATTATTTATTTAACTGTTTTATTACAGCTTTAAAGTAAATTTAAGCGACATGCAAACAGTAATTAGTGAGATATTGTTTAGGGAGTTGATATTCTTGATCTTTGTTGGTGCTGATTTTTTCTTCGTTGTCTGGATTGGTACCCAGGATTAATACTCAACAGGCAGAGCCCTATTACAGAGTATATAAGTACAATAAGAAACAAACACAATATAAATAATATCTAAAACAATTGATTTAACAATGTTTTAGATATTAGATGTAATTAGAATAAATTCTATAGAGTGGAGAGTTCATTTGATAGTTCGTTGAAGCAAGTTCAAGATAAAAAGTTATATATTATAAATACAAGTAGTTTGTTTCTGTACAAATTTAATAGGTTGCATATGTATAAAAGTTTACAAATTCTGGAGGGGCATATTTTATCGAATGGACATCTATTTTCGATATAAGACGCCGAAAAAAGTGTTTTAATTAAAATGTTTATTTTTAGTCTGGCCTACTAATTTTCAGCCACACTATATATTGCAACTGGTCTTCCATATGTTTGTACGATTTTTATATCATATCTGTCTTTTAACCTTCTATATGTATAATCATTTCCTTTTTATATCGACACTGGCTAACATAATAATATACTCGTATTAGGTTGGAGAAAACCAGTGCGTTATACTTACCAAGTTGCAGATTTACCGGAAGAGAAACTGTTTACATAAAACTTACATGCAGGGAATATAAATCGCACCACTTTCTTTCATTTGAATATTAATATGAACCAGAGAAAAAATATAAATCATGCCAATAACCTCATTAGTAATGTCAATGAAGTTTATAGTATCAGAGTTCAATATCTTATTTCCGCGATGAATTATTCATTCAGAGATTCGAGTAGATTAGTTATTAATGAACAGAGCAGTGTCTTAATGTTACCAGTTGCATAAGATAAATACATTCAATGCAAAGGCTAATGGACTACCTTGTAAAAAATTCATTTGGCTTTAAATTCTCTTGTTAAATAATTTAAAGATTCTCTAAAAACAAAATTAAATCGAATTAATTTAATTAATTTGCTTTTACAGTAATTAAATTGAAGAATAACTGGACTTGACAGCTTTTATATTTATTAAATTTTTTAAGTATTCATGATGTGTTGATTTTTTTTGGTTTTTTTTTTGCTTATACTTTACACAGAAACTGACACTGTAACCTATTTCTGAGAAAAAGTAATAATGAAAAAATATATGTGTTTGTACATTAAAAAAAGTTGATAACTGAAAATATATACGTCACAAATTTACGAAAAGTTTAGGTACTATAATAATGTGACAAAAACTCTTTTTTTCAGGGTGTTAAACTTTGAATTATTTTTATTAACTTTTACGTAAAGTTTTCCAAGTATTTCATTTACATTTTGTATAAATATAAGTTGATTTTGCAGTTGTATAAGATAATATAAGTAAAAAGCTATTTTAAAGTTTATTACGAAAATATTAAAATTTGAAACTTATAAGCAGTTGTCAATGATGAGTAGAATATAATACCTAATAATAAGTATTTTTAATAATTAAAACCGTTGAAATTAACAGCTTTAAAATTAAAAAAAAAATAAAATTCAAAATAATCAAAGTCGTTAATATTTATTGAGAATCACTGGAATCATTCCTTACATATACAGGCTGTTACAAATTCGCTTCTCACTACAGGGATCTCAAAAAAAAAACGAAATTTTGGAAATCCGTTTTTGTTTCATTTCAGCCTTGTTTGAGGTGATATTGAAAAAAGAATAACACTTTCTCTTGGCCACTTTTTGCCCTCTATCGAATGGCATAATCAATTTTTGTATGTAACGTTTCGTCTTTTATTACATTTTTTGCAAGCCTTCATGACCCCCAATACTGTACTGCCAACTGAATATTCTTCTTTAAAAAATTTCAGTAAATGTTAAAAAACATTTTCGTTTTGGCAAAGGTTAAAAATGAGGATCAGCGTAATATTATCGAAATTTATTATATCTGTAACTGCAACTGTGAAAGAGCATGTCAGATGTATTTCTATGAATATCCTGAAAAAAATAGATCGGAATTTGTTTGAATTTTGAGTAGTCGAGAAGCCTAGAAATAACTATGGACACGGGAATAAAACTCTAATAATGATATTACTTTAATGCGTGGTGGTAATAGTTTAAATAACTAGATGGATTTCAGAGGGTCTAACGACACTTACAGTGTCTGATAATTCAATAAACAAAGCAATCTAAATAAAAAATTTAGATAAAGGAACGAATACACTGAGGATGAATTTTTCGAGACAAAACGTCTGAATCTGGTTCGGGCTGATCCAGTACAGTATTGGGGGTCATGAAGGTTTACAAATAATGTAATAAAATTTCCAGGGTATTATGTATTGATGATGGTCCTGGAGAGACGAAACGTTACATATAAAAATTGATTACGCCATTCGATAGAGGACAAAAAGTAGCCACGAGAAAGTGTTCTTCTTTTTTCAATATCATCTCACATAAGGCTGAAATGAAACAAAAACGGATTTCCAAAATTTCGGGTTTTTTTCAAATATTTCGAAAACTAATCATGTCAGCCTTGATTTTTTAGAGGGATAATGTTGGTCCCCTGCTTACGCAACTTTGTCCTCATTTAAGCTACTTCTTACCTTTTACCGTTTTCGAGATCCCTGTAGTGAGAAGAGCATTTGTAACAGCCTGTAGAGAGATAAACAGTTGTGGTCGTAGATGGCACGCCGTCTGATTTTATTATTTATTAGTAAACAGAAAAATTATTAGTTCAATTTTAGATTATCTATATGCATATACAGTCCAACTTTAGTTTTCATTACAAAAACGCGTGTTTTTTATTTTGTTATTGTTTTGGGCGTGTGCGTGTTAATAAGACCGAAAAACCATACTAAAAAGGCCCATTAATACAGTAACAAAGCGTATAGAGTCGTTGATGAAAACTATTACATATACGTAAATGTACAGTTAACTGTACATTTACGTATATGTATAGATTTATGCATATACTTATAAACAGCCGAGCTATCGATACAGTCAGCGGATCCAAAAATGTTTCTTCCTATTGTAGACGTGTCGGTAAGTAATACCCATCAATCTGTCTCTACAGATGGATAGATATCTAAACGTTGAGTATGAATCAAAGTTGTAGAGAATTTAATTTGTAAGAAAGTTTAAATTGTAAGTATAAAAAAATATATTCTATTTTAAAAAATATTTCTGCCAATCGAGTCTTGGCATCTCTGTTTATTTACATTTCTCTCCGAGTTTGTAAACACCCTGTATTTTTTAAACTAAAATTAGATGCACTTTCTTGTAGATTCAATACAAAATGCCAGTTCTATGCAAGAACAACAATTATTATAAATTTATGTTATGTTGAACATACATTACTCAAAAATAATAATTATATACAGTAATATTTGTAATAATTGTTGTATATTACACTCATAATTTTTTTAAGGGAACTAAGGATTCCTACTAAATTTACTGTTATGTCATAAATTAAGTATTGATAATTATACAAAATGTTTCAAAATTTAACTATTTAGCATTTAATAAAAAAGAAAGCCGTTTAAAAGTTGTTGTCTGACTTTCTTACTCTTTAAAAGTTAATCACGCATGTCTGTAGTCGCATTTTCATTCATTCATAATTGAAATAAAACAAAAAACAATACCAATCTATAACTGATATTGTCTTTTAAAAAGCACAAACCTGTTTTTTCCATTTAGGTACGTATCTAGCTGTAGAAGCACACGATATAAAGAACACCAACACAAACAACAATAAAAATACTTTATCCATTGTGTAATATTAATCCATGAAGTAATTTTTTTAACGTTGCACCAGTAAAACTAGTAACTTGGTGGACTCATCGGCCGTGAACTTGAGAGTATATATGAAGAAATGAGAAATGCTGACCTTCTTTCAATCTCTTTACAGCTAACGGTAATTTCTTTGTGACGTCTTCAACCTGATATGCAGTTGGTTTTAAATATAAAATGAAACGGGAATATTATTTTTTAAAGGAGTGGAAAAATCTTCAAGTTTTGTATACTGATGTAATAAAATTAATCAATTATATTTCAAAACTTCTTTAATAAAAAAAAGACTATCGGTTTTACAGTTTTGAACACCTTCGGGCTTTAACTCAAAGAACGATATCGAAAAATTCCTGAAAATTTACAATTACAAAAATTATATTGTATATTTATTTTTTAAACTGTTTTCGAAAAAAATTTTTTAACAGAGCAGATTTAGCAGATTGTGTAGTAAAAATTATTTAGATTATGATGAACTAACCAAATTTATTGAGCAATATAAAATCTATATACAACAAACAACTTAATTGTTTGCAAAAAATAAGAGAATAATTATAAAAAAATAAGTTATTGCTGAAAATATAAGACATAAGTAATTAGGTACTGTGGGTTTAATTCGAAACATATTTTTTAGTAACATTGGCACAATTTGCTTGTTAACATTTAATTAATCGATTTTGATCGATTTAAATTCCACAATTTCTTTTTAAATATTAGTCAACATATACGGGATGAAACGGGTTTAATATTAACAACTGTAGGAAGAAGTGAACAAGTAAATAAAAGAGAAAATAAATTGACTTTTTAAATAAACAAATGTCAAACATAAATATTTAAGTTCGACGAATTATATCTACATTTGAATAGATCTATGAAACTGATAAACTGGTTTTCATTAAAAATTTCATATAATAAAATAAGAAAAAAGTGTCCCTTACTCCGAGATGCCAGATATTTTGCTGCAAAAATCATCATTGCCTTTTCTCTTTATTTCTGTGATTAGGTTCTATTGAAGTCCCATAGCACCGCGGCCTTATCAAGCCCATTGTTCATTCCACTGTTCAAAGCTATTCAGCAACTTTGTCCTTTTAAGAAAGTCCAAAAGCTTATTTGTCTTCACTTCTCTCAGTTCCTTGGGCCCCGAAAAGAGTTTTCCCAGGAGCGTTATTGTACTACGTACAAATCCTGAACACTCGCCTAGGATATGCAGAGAAGTTTCATCCCCCAAGTCACATCCTCGGCAGATAGGACTGCCTACAAGCCTTAGCTTGTATAGATGCTTCCTAAAGTGACACTTTCTTGGGCCGAATTTTATTCAAGATCGGCAACTCATTCGTTCTTTTTTGCTAAGGACACTCCATAAGTTCCTTCGCAAGGCTTTGCCCTGGCCTTGAAACTCAGTATATCCTAGATTCTCACTCAATCCATTTGCTCCTATACTGGGAGATGTGCCACAGAAGAGCTCCGGATCAATGAAATTTGTTACGGATCCCTTCCTAGCAAGTTCATCCGCTTTGTCGTTCCCACAAATACCTTTGTGTCCAGACACCAATACAGTCTAACTGTATTAGTGGTAGCCAGTTCAATCAGCATTTGTAAACATTCCTTAACAAGTTTTGAACTTACTTCGTGTGTGCCAAAAACCTTTATTACCTTAGTTTTGGCTGAAAAATTTCCGTGTTGGCTACGTTGCCGGCTTATATTTCTTGACATTTCGAGAGCCATGGTTCTTACCTTCAGAAGGAATTCTGAAACTGGAGATTAAGTCCTTTTTTCGATATTTATACTTACTGTGTGTGTTGGTTCATGGTCTTCTGATGCATAATTTGAACTTATTGGTCTGTGATGTTCATGCCCTTTATATTTATGTATGAGTCGTTTCTAAATTTAATGTAGTTATAGCCGTTTGATTTGTTTCCTTACTGGTCCAATATATACATGTTTTTTTTAGAGGCGGCTTATCAGTATATCTTTGTATATAGGCTGTCCTTAGATATCTCTCGATTTCGTTGTTCTTAGGTGTTTTGCTGATAGCTTGTCCAATATTTCTGTTAGTATATCTATTTGCTTTGACAGCTAGTCATAGATGATGTAGATCTTCCTCTTGTGTTTCGGCTTGTACATATCATAGTTTCAATATGTGTTGATGATATCTTGCTACCAGTCTGGATGGCGTTATCCTATCAATCTGTCTATACAAATGGATAGATATCTAAACGTTGAGTATGAATTAAAGTTGTAGAGAATTAATTTGCAAGAAAAAATGTATTTACAAATTTTCTGTGCGACGAATAGTTTGCCCGATATAGTAAGTAGTAGTATAAAAACCATTCGCAGCCCTTTTTACAAGATGGCGGCCGAAGCATAAGGGTTGCGACCCCACAAACATGGATTTAACTTTACACTAACCCCCTCTTGACATCAAAAAAATTAAATTGCGTGCTCTGACTTTTGCACGCTACACCCAAAAAAATGTAACATTTCAGTGGACTATATGTGCTCTAAAAACATTGTTATCAAATGTTTTATTAAGTGTCATTTGGTGTTCTGTCACTTCTTTTCTCATTTTAATTTTAAACCTTGTTTTATGAACGAATAATAGGTTACTGTTGAAAGTACGTATAGACACAGATTTTTGATAAAATTACTCTTCTAACTTATTATAAGATATTACTATCAAATATTACAATCTAGTAAAGGGCAGAAATTTGCGGTGATTGCAATGACCAAAATTAAAAAAGAATTGCATGGTAATGTGTGTATTGTCGGAAATATACAATTTTACAAATAAATTAAACTATTGCATATACTAGTAAATATGTAATGTGTTGCTTAAAAAATAGTCTTTTATTATTTTAATTTTTCTTCACATTGGAAGTAAGAAGTAACTATAAAAAAATCTTTATACAAAAATTACAACCAATAGAAATTTAAATTATGATAATTGGTGCTTTTTTACTTAAAATACATTTAAATACGCAGTAGTTAGTAATATCAGTCAGGTGTTCAAACACACTAACGACAATGAAGATGAATGCATGATGCGAAACTTTCTTAACACCATTGATATTTTCCACTGAATATAAATGATTTTGATTCGCTATATTTGTAATCTGGTAGGGAAATATCATTTTGTTTGGTAATTTGATACGTTATTTATAATACAAAATATTTATTGATTTATTAATTAATTCAGATTGAAGTTTAATCATTAAAGCAATATTTATTTTTTTAAATAGTTTACTCTTTAAGTTTCGCATTATGGTAGTAATCATCATTGCTAACACATATAATCAGTGCCATGATAAAAAATCTATCTCATATAAACTTATGGTAACTGTGTTTTACGATTATAGTTTAATACTTTTTAAATAAAATTCAAATGTGTGTACATATCTATCCAATAAATTAATTTCCTATAGATTTATCTAGCACTTCTACTAAGGGATCATATACAAGTTGTCTAGCGTGTCTTCCAAAAACGAAGTCTATATGATTGAAGGTGTCGATATTGATTTTTCTCATTCCATACCTACTTTCACTTGGTAAGTTTCTCCATAAGTTTCTGGCGTCCTAGAACATTAAAAAAGATTGTTGTTTAAGTCTTTGTCTAACAACGGTAAAAATAGCATTTAACTCTGGGCTATTTGCACAGTTTGAGATCTTTGGTTCTTGATATTTATGAATGAATTGTTTGCAAAATTCTATTATTCTGAATTTCTATTGCTTCTATATGGAGTTATGATCATAAACTTCTCTCTCACTAGAATTCTGATATTACTTGGATCCATTAGCATCCCTTTTCCAACCTAAGTGACACTTGTCCTTTATATGGGCCCTTCTCCATTATGGATAAATTTTATGAACAAACTGAATTTTGCTTACTCTTGTTCCCAGATATTAATTATGTGTACGTATCTACTCTGTTAATTTTTCAATGTTGTTATTCTTTAAATAACACTGTTTTATTTTATGCTTGTACACGAGATGCTGTATATACTGGGGTCTTGAAGTACATCGATATTGCTGGTCACCTAGGCTACTTTTCTTAATGGACCTAATTAATACCACAGTCCTCGTAAGGAAAAAAGATTATGGCCAGGACTCTACAGAAAAGCAATAGAAATTCAGAAATATTTAGGTGATAGGACTACTCAGAATTTGGAAATAACATCCTTATAAATTAAAGTTCGAAAGACAGTAACATGCAAACATGCAGCGGAACGCTTTGGACCAATAAAAGCAAGAAATCTAAATAGAAGTCAGAAGACTTAATCTCTAGTTTCAGAGTTTCTTCTGAAGAAAAAGCGATTTTTCTCTTGAAACATCGAGAACAAGTCCAGAAAATGTTCAACCATTGACAACTGCTACGGAGCCTTACAAACCAAGCTAATCGTACAAATAGCTATAACATTTTATTATTCACTCCTCATGCTTTGTAATTTAGGCGTGGTACTGTATATTAAAGCTACTATTCTTCTCATAGTAGAAGTTACTTACTGCTTCTGGGGTGGCCCAATCTTGAGCACTAAACATGAGGTAGACGGGAACGTGGATGTTCTTGATATCGTATATTGGTGGAGTTAATCTGCCGTAGTGTTTTAAGTTAAGATGTTTGTAATTGTATTTACGGAAATTTCCTAAGACAAGATCTGCAGCGTGATTCAAAATCTTTATAGATGTTCCACCTGGCAGCTGGTTAAAATACACTGGGATGCTTTCCTAAAACAAATAAAATAATAAGCAACAAATTCACCGGAGTATATTTTGTGTGTTGAGACTTTTATTAGATTAGTGACAAGATTGGACGTGGAATTTTCAGCAGCCTCAAACACAACTTAATTCAATTGGATTCAACTAAATTAATAGCTTGTTGTTGAAATAAATCAGATATTTTAGTTTGACGCTAAATAGGTCCTAGACTTGATGCAAAAACAAATTTTTTGCATGGTTTCGTTTTAAATTTTGTTGAAGCTAGCTGCGTCAGTCGCGATTGAATTGGAAACTTAAAAAAAAATAATGTAGCATTTTTAAGGTACACTTGGCAGCAAAAATTCGATAGTCCAAGAAATATTTAGTCACTTTATGAAATGTATATTTTAGTACAGTCATACAATTAGATGAACCTAATAGATAACTGTCATCTACTTCTTCATGTAGAGATAAGATTATGGAAAACCCTTTTGATAATTATACATTTAGATGACTAGAGCTTCAATCGGTTTCTTAATGTCACGTATCAGTTTTTTTTAAATTAAAACCAATCTCTATAGATTTCTGCATATTAATAGTGTTCAAATAAACTTCCACTATATAAAAAATAATCTTTAGAAATAATAATGTAAACAATTTTTTATAACCAATATTTAAAATGCACTCTTATAAAATTTGATCTCTTTGATCAGCTCCTAATGGTTTATCAGACCTCAATAATATTTATTTTCTGCTAAATATGTTATCAATTCATATTCATCAATGAACACATCGTTTTTTCATAAATGTATTAACAATAATTATTACATTACCGGCCCCAAATCCGTGTTTGGTCCATAGAAAAGATTGTACAATTGCATGCAAAACTGCATCATCGGAGGTGATTCTGTGCACATCGGTACAACCATTCTTCGTAACTCCTGGGCATGAGATACTAGTCGTTCCATTTTCAGGTTGCGCACGGTATCCTACAAAATAAAGACGGATTTTTAATTTGTAATGTTGTTAACAGTTCTTTAAATCTATTTGATGTTATCGCCGTTGTTTAGGTACCCTTAGTTTTTAGTTATTTATCCCGGCAGCAGAGTGCCATGAAATTTTCCGCCAGTGTCTTTCTACCTCGGGTGTCGAATGCGGATAATTCCAAGAAAGTGACGCAGGAGTCTTCTTGGAATTCTATCTCAACAAATATCGTACGGATTGTATCTCTCTTAATTACTATAGAAAGAAAATTAACGAATACCGATAGTGAATGATGACTATCGGAATTTCCAGAATCAGTTGCATTATACAAAAAACTATTATATAAAAAAATTATATATACATGTTTATTAAATATCTGAGTATAGTATGTTAATGTCTAAATTTGAAAATACTAATAAAACATTTTTCTCAATTTTGTACTAGTGACTGAAAATAATTTTCTAATGCTGCTTCTCATTTAGATATCAATTTCTCGCAGAAGTTATTTATGTGTTTCGGTAATAAGTAGTTTGTATACAATATAGTGTTATACAAACACAAATGTAGAAATTGGAGGCATGTTTAGTATTTTAATAAGGCACCTTGATAGGGATCAGTGATTTACTATTGTAATTATTAAAAAAGTAGTAATTATTTCTCTATTTTCTGTGCAGTGGTATGGGAGACGCAAACACATTTTTTTAAGTTTGTACAATTTACAGTTAGAATTTCGAGTTCTTTGATATGTATAAATATTGTTTATTTGTGTTAATGGTTAGACAAACAATGTCAGATTAAAATAATGACAAATATGAACTTTATAATCTAATAATTTTAAATGATACAAACCTATATACCAATGAAAATAATGACAAAAAATGTAATTATTTACTTTGCATCACTAACGACAATGATCATATTCAACAATTATTATAAGTTTCTATGAATTAGAATATATTTCGTTTAGTAATGATATAAAAAAATAGAAGTTATATGAGCCCGCGGAAAATTATAAACAGGTTATTTCAAGGAATTTTTCACAGTTAATCCAATTACTTCGTTCACTATGTCATAAAGTGACATTTCATATGGACGTGTTAGTGTATCAAATTTCAATAAAATTTTAATGGGCTCGTTTTAAAAAATAAAAAAATGCCAAATTTGATATTCTCTGGCCACTAAACGAAGCAACATATATGAAGCGGAGTAGTACTTAATTATCTAAAAGTTTCATGAAAAACTAGTTCTCTTTCTTGCTTCCTACAACCCTAAAAGTGAAAGATACAATTATTGCAAATAACGGCGAGAAAAACTATGTGGGAGTACCTGCACTTAATTTCTTTTAGCGTTAGCGCAATATGCATTTATAATATAAGAAAATGTACTAATTGTGAATAACACTAATTCTAAAATATCTACAGCATATCCTTGACATATTTTCTGGTTTAAATTTTCATATTAATGTAATATAATAGAAAACTAGTTCTTTAATTTTTCCTCAAGTCAAGGTACAAAATAACCCGGTTCAGACGCAGTTTTTGTTAAAATTATGTCTAGATTTATTCGATAACAGCAATAGTAGGACGGTAGTGAATTAATTAACATTCATTTATGAGAAATATTTCACTATCTACGTTTAACAAATAATGATACATATAAACTTATTACCCACATTTTAATGGCTCAGGCAATCTGAGAGCACATTTTCTACAAAGATGTTTCAATTTAGTCTAACCACGTTTGCTAAAACGGAGTCTATTGAAACAAATATTGCTCTTATCGAATTCCTTAATCTTTTTTATCAAATCATATATGTCTTTAAAAGTATTCTTTTCATCCTTAGACAAAGCGTCTTGTATTTCTTGGTGCACTTTCTCATATAGCCTCAGTCGCTACTCATTCATGTGTGGTTTTTATTAGTTGTTCCATGGTCATTACTTCCGCATGTCCAAATTCATTAGCTAGCTATAGATGAGCACTGTTCTATATATTTCTAGCATTCTACCGTTTGGAGGATGAAGGACTCTAGCAACGGAACAATCATCTTGGTCCATACCTCTATTTACAGTAAGATTTTGATTAAATCCATCTTTAGGAACAGTTCTCATCACTCTCTCGAGCACTCTGGGTATTTGGAAGTCGTATCCACTGTGAACTACATTCATAATCACCCTAGTTGGAATACCATCCATATATGGTGTGAAACAGTTGTAGTTTAATGTGAAAATGTATATCTCATTCAAGACGCTGTGTGGTGACCGCTCAAGTGAAAATAAGTTAGATTAAAGATGTTCACAATGGTAGGTAGGGTGCATTGTTCTTCCATCCTTATGATGAACTCATTTTTTGCTGACAGCTCAAGAATTATTCTTATTAATAGATCCCCAGTGTACCCTTTCCTCATATGGGGACTAACAATTTATGATTACTCTTTTATCATAAAAAGTAGTCCACACAAATTGGTCCAGACCTATCCATCCAACATGGTGTGGTCCATAATTAGACATAAGCCAATATTATTCGTTGTTTATGGTAAAAGCTATATTATCGAATCCAAGAATTATGTCGTCAATGTTACCTTTTCTGTCAGGCATTTTCATAGAGATTATTCTAGCACCATAATTTACCACTTGCACTTAGATTTTGTTCTTGTTCTTCCAAGTGAAATGCTTGATGTTGTTGGTGCGGCCATATTCATCGTAATATACCACAAAATTATCTTCTACTAGCTCTACGTTATCAGTAAATTGCAAAATATTGCCAGCACTTTCTTTGCTTGGATTGGTAATTGGTAAGGTCGGCTTCTTCTACTTTTAAAACCTCTTACGATAAATTGATGGAGAAGTTGCAAAGAAATAGGCAATCACAAAAACATTCCACAAAACTTCAAAATGCTTCTACACCTCCAAGTGGCAATCTGCTAGAAATATATCTACAGACAGCTAATGAATGTGGACATGCGGAAGTAATGACCATGGAATAATTAATAAAAACACCAATGAACACCATTTCAACTACTAGCCCAAAATGCGAGGAATCAGAGCCGCTACTGAGGCTATATGAGAAAGTGCACCAAGAAATACAAGGCTGTCTGTCTAAGGGCGAAAATAATACTTTTAAATAAATTTGCACTTATCATCTTGCGTCTCAAAGTATTTGAATTACTTTCTTCTAAATTTATCATATATACATACGTATATGTCTAGCAAATCTCAATTTGATATTGAATTAACTGGTGACTAGTTAATTATGAATTTTGCTCTCATTACACTAGCTGCTAGTCTAATGACAGCAAAGTTCATGATGTTAATAATTCTATAGTTTTCTTTCGTGATAAGGGGCTTTCTTCAGGTAGGTTTTATAAGAAACCTTTTTAAAAAAGATGCGTGTGTAAAAATACACTTTTTTTGCGTTAATGTATAATTTTGTTAATCAATTGATATACTTACAAGAATGAAATCTCCATAGGGCGCTGCTAGTCTGTATGGGGAAATCATGTTTGACAACGTGTATGCAGGAGACATAAGTACAAACAGGTGAATTATATTTCTTGCTTCTTCAGGGAATTCTGCTCCATACATTAACGCTATAGAGGTTCCCAGTGAATGTCCAATGAAAATAATTTTGCTATCGTGACCTGTGTGTTTCAAAATTGTCCGAAAAGTTGATGGTAAGTCCAGTAAGGCTACTTCGTCCATACTAAATTTAAAATAAATACATTAATACCACAGTCGTTATAACTTGTAAGAAATATTATTAACCTCATGAAGTTAATGATTTTTTAACTACTGATTACTGATACTTTCTTGTAATTATTATGGAACACCTTATAGCAGTAAGTTTTTTTTTGTGACAATGTTAACAATAAATTTATATTTCATACCTATGATCCCAGTAAGCTTCGTCGTAGACAGTTAGATTCACATGTTCCTGTGAATATGAATTTCCTCTGTAATTTCCTAGCCAAACATCATATCCGGCATCCGCCAGGACAAAAGCTGAATCACAAAATATATTAGTATATTAGTGGTTCATGCTAGATCTACAGATAGTAGTAAAATTTTTTATTTATGATTTCTAGTAATATTTTATTTCTTGAGTCTTTGGGGATTTCAGGGATTACATGCTTTTTTTTTACTTTATACAGTAGCGCCATAAATTATTGATTATTATGTAACATGATGGTTATACGAGATGTGACCTTTCAAAGGAAACTTGATACTAATATTTCACTTCATTTTACAAGAGTGAGAAGTATAAAAACTCTTTGTAATCTAAGGTAACCAAGAACCTGGGCTGTAATATGGAGAACATTTACGGATCTATACTAAGGTATTTCAAAAAGTAACAGCAGATTAATAATATCTCATGGCAGGAAGATGTCAAGTATCTCAAGCTCTCAAGACACACTCTATTTTGACATTATTGATCCTTTGACATGGTTTAATAGTTGTACACATTGAACTAAGAAGTTGAAATTTAAATTTTCACATCTCTATTTGCACATTGTTGCAGTTCTTACGTCTATTTCGAAGCACTCTCAGAAAAAAGGATTTTTCCAAACAAAGCAGTTTTGAAAGGATTTCAATAAAAACCGTATGAGATTTAAAGTTTAAAATATGTAAAAGTGAGTTCATATTACTAAAATTTCAACTTAAAGTCTGATATTCTTCATCGCCTGTACTTGAAGTTTATATCAATACTAATTAACATTTAACACATAATAATGTCTAGATCAATATATAATATTAAATTGCAAATGGAAATGGGACTTTTATTTGAAGTCGGCCTTCATCTTCATGAAACAGAATATTGATATTTTAAATTTTGTAGCACTATCTTAATCTGTTGATTCCTGATTATCATCTGATTAGACTCTCAAAGAAAGACAAAGATTTAGTAGGATGATGAGATCGTAAAAGTAGTACTTTTCTTAAGTTGAGTTATTGCAATAAAAATATAGGTATTACCTATAGTAAAAAAATAATGGTTCAATTTCCAAGTATTTTAAGAGCTCTGCAGTTTGTGTTTGTTGATTTATCTTCGTTGTTACTTTTAGGTAATACTAGCCTGCCTTTAACCTCATGCTAATGCGTCTTCCTGTCGTCTAATATACAGGGTGCCCGGAAAGTCATGTGAAAAATGAAGGGGTATACAGGGGAGCTCAAAATAGTTGTAGTTCATAAAAAAAATTTCCTATGGGAACGACTTTTCAAACTTCTTTCTTTGAAGGCGAATAACTCCACAACGAAGCCCGACAGGGAAAAAATTTTATGTAGTGGGTACTACAACTATTTTGAGCTCCACTGTACACCCCTTCATTTTTGACATGACCTTTCCGGACACCCTGTATATACTCTACAACATATACAGGAGAGTTTATATATTTACATGAGTCTTAAAGTATGTCGCTCTTGCAGCAGATTTTGAGAAAGGTTACCCCTATCATTTTGAGATGCTATAGAAGGGATTATCACTGTATTTTATTAACAGCGACCTATCTTATCAACACATTCTTGTATTTATGTACACAAGTTGTCAATATATTCCCTCTTTTCTTTGATTCTAAGTATCAACAGTTAGGGAACATAATGTTGATATAGTACATTAAATAAGCAATCCTAAGCAATTCCAAAATTCTAGTAAGAGAGAACAGATTTTTTTAGTGACTTTAACATGCCTATCTAAAGATTGGTAAGGAAGAAATATAAATCATTGACAACTGCCTGTAAATCAATAAAAAAATATAGAATGATGACGGAAAAATTATGTATTATTTTACCTCTAATTGAAATATGTCACCAAATATTGAATGCTCTTGTATATTTATGAAAATTCCCTTAAAATTTAAGGATTTGTGTTACAGGTCGTTGTTCTATTCAATAAATGCTTTACCTATCACAACTTTTTTAAATTACTGTTGTGTTGTGTACCTATGTGCCTTTGATTAATAAAAACAGGTAACAGGAAACCATTTGAGTAATAATATAAAAAAAAATGGAATTTGCAACCGCAAGTCACTGTAATCTTAAGTATTCCTGAGTACACCGAGTATATGAAGGCGGAAAATTGAATGTCTGCAATCAATATTTAATTAATGTTTCGTGATATAGAAGGTCACAATTTTTTTATTAGTTCTGAGAATGTTAACTATGGTCTGTGTTATTACTTTCTTTTGCAATAACTTCTAAATTCTAACATTTGTACCCATTTGCGATCACTTCAAATACTCCAAGATAAAATTTGGACACTTTTTTCAGAAAACAGATGTAGGATCAAACTAGTCAAAATGTTAAAATAAAGTTTCTACAACTAACTTGTTTCTTACCTAAAGAATTTTTGCCTAATCCAACAAAATTGGCACATGTTGCTACCAATCCATGCTGCAAGTATACTGGATGATATTTTGCTTTAGGATTTTTCGTATCGTCTCTCGGTATTCTGAACATTGTTAAGATGTAACCATCAGGTGTCTGTACTTTGTACTCTAACACAGGATATCCATGGCGTTTGATAGTTTCCGGCTAAAAAAAAATAAAACTTGATGGTATTTGAAACATTATTTGAATATAACTATTACTAAACAACTGTAGCATTTGAATCTTACAATTTAGTTTTCAATTAAGAAAGATTTATCAGTTTAACCAAAATACTAATGTTCTTAATATTTGATTAAGTAAATATTTTATGTTTGTTTAGGTGAGAGTGGAAGGTAATAGGAAAAGCACCTCGCATACTACCTAATAAAAGAAAAAAGTCCTTTGTTGTACTATATTATTATTATTCATCTAATCATGTACTACAGCTGTTTAATACCTCTGCCTGATACTTAGAAAATGTGAAGAAGATATCGACTGGCTTGCAAAAATATTTATCACTTCACTTATTCTAACTATAGAGAAACAGAGTATGACAATTTTCAGATGATCCTTAAAATTAGATCACAGCAAAGATCAAGATTACAACTAAAAACTAAGCTACAGATGCGCACATGTTTTATCCAACACCCATATAGTTTTTGGAGAGCTTTCCATTAGAATAAATTCTTTTGTATCCTTTTTATACTAATCTATCTATTCGTTTTCAGTTTTGTTGATGAAATTATGGAGTCGTGAAGTCTTACTAAAGTCGTTTTTATTTTAACATGAATATTTTGTTAAAATCACTTGAAAGATTGAAATAGTCTGCAGTAAAACATAATAGAATCAAGCATGGGTCAAGGACAAAGCAAGTTGTTTCATATAATGAAAGGAGAAAATCCGAATTTAGTCTTTCATGTAAACGATCTGACCTTTGTTTTTTTCTAAGTAGAGTCAAATGGTTATTATATCACGTTATAAATGTTACATACATATAGTTCAAAATAGGCATGCGAATATCTAAGAAACCTAAAAGAGAAGTGTGCCTCAATAATATTGTAGATAAGTAATCTTATGCCCGTTGACATGTTTATAATTGTCGTTTTCATGTAAGGGAAATAAATCAAGAATATAGCGAGGAAAATATTTTTTTTTGGATACAAGCTTTGGGCAACAGATGGATGGTTCATAGCAAATGAATATTGCTCCCAGTGCTTAAACAATACCGTCAATTTTTTTTTAATGTATACTCTGAAGAAAAGCGATTTTTCGAGTAAAATTATTATAGAGATGGAGAAAATTCTTGCACTATCTCATCTTATGTCGCCATCGTTGAAGCTTGAAAATTATTGGCAAATGATTTTTATTCCACAAGATATCAGTCTAGACAAGGAAAATATATGAAATTTATATATTAACAGGAAAACCAAGAAATGTATGTCTATATATGAGGTTTGATCAGAAAATAACCAAACTTTATTTTTTAAAACTTTTTTTATTAATTTTATACATTATTGGCCCTCGTCTCCTTCAAAGTACCCCTCTCCTCTTTTCACACATTTTTCTTAGCGGTGTTTTTATTTGGGCAAGCAGTTCTGGATAGCTTCATTTGAAATAGCGTTTAAAGTATATGACGAATTTGCTTTGGTGTCATAGGAAGCCTGAAAACGGCGTCCTTTCAGCACTAATTTTAATTTCAGAAGTAAGAAAAAATCGCGAGAAGTTAGGTCTGGTGGGTAAGAAGGGCGAAGGAGGACAGTAATCATATCTTTGACTTTCTCAACGTGGGAGTTGTCAGTTGTAGTCGAAGGCCTTCCTGGTCGAGGAATATTTTCAATTGACTGACGAACATTTTTAAATCATGAAAACCATTCGTAGCATTTCGTACGACCTAAGCATCATTTCCGTAAGTTTGTTTCAAAAGTTGAAATGTTTCCGTGAAAGTTTTCCCCAGTTTCATGCAAAATGTTACGTTGCATCGTTGATCCAGAAAATCGCACATTTCAAAACTCGTCACAAATATTTAAACACGTTGCACTCAAATAACAGTATCACTAAAACTAAATGAGATATCAATAATCCAAGAACATGTGGTTGCAGAGGAGGTTATGCACAACGCAATGTTGCCAACCGCATATCACTAAATATCTCCATTAAAAAAGTTCGATTATTTTCTGAACAGACCTCGTATAAGAAAAATAAATGAATCTTTTTTGTAACTGCTTTTTGTGCAATGAATTTTTTACGAAGAATTTATTAAAAGGTTTAAATGGAAATTAAGTCTCCTTTTGTTTTTAATGGGAGGTTAATATTTACCACGAGTTGAATTGGTTTTGTAATTCGACGGTTTTCATTCGTTCTGCACGATTACTAATGCTGTTACACCTTAGATTAGAATTTAATGTGTTAATTGTTTTAAAGTGTCTCTTTTATTTAGACACCGCCTTGAATTCCTTATGAATTTTCTTCATGTAGAAAAATATTTAAAAGAGAAGTATGGAACATAGCGAAAGTAGAATTTTGAAAAGGTTATGTTTTTTTTTCACAGAACGTTTAATTTGAAATAAAGCAATAGACGATAGTATTTCTAAAAAACATATTTAAATCAAGAGTAAAATAAAAATTATGTAATACTCATAGTGTTAGATGGCAGTGAACGTTGTTGACAAACACGGATCTTTGAATACCATGAAAGTGGGAATTTTGTCGTAATTTTGCCTTCAAATAGTTAAATAGATTAATAGATAGGATTTAATAAATACTTTATTTAATGTTTTTTAATTACCCTATCAAACCGCAACATTTTTTTATTTACCATTCAATTGTCGAATATTAACGAACCTATATCTTTTTGATTGTATTTAAGTTATAACAACTTTAACATTCAACAATAAGATTTTTAGTAGGTAATAAATATATTTTCTTGTGAATACTACCTGGTGTTTTCTAAATGTATTTTATAAACTAAGGGCCGTGTTCCTTTGTTTCTTACATTACTTATTTAAGCTAAAAATTAATTAATTATTAATTTAAAGCCACTGGCTTTCGAGGTAAGTTTGTTGAAGTTAAAAAAGGTCACGTTAATTCAAGTATCCCCGAAGAGTTTTCATTTTGATTTTTTGTTTGTCCTAGAAACTGGTACACAAATCTGTCAATCAGTAGCGGAGATACTGGGATATGCTGTTACTAAGGAGGGCAGAATTTATTTATATATTTTCTTACATACTTAATTTATTTATTTAAAATTTGGAATTTTAATGCTACTTAGTGTTTTGAAAATTAAACGAGGGCATTTAATATATATAATAATTAATAATAATAATATTAATATTAATTCCTATTCCCATTCTTAAGATAAATAATTTTAAAATGATTTTCTTTAAAGCGAACTTATCGTAACTAAATAAATCTAAATCAGCACTAAAATTATTAATTTCACAACAAACGTATAAGGTTAAAATTTGTAATCTGATGCTTATTTTGAACATTTAATTTTATCCACAATCACCTTATAATCGAACTTTTATCCACTCATATGAATCGTCTACAGTGATACTTTTTACACTAATGGAATAAAGTAACTTTATTTCACTAGTAGAATGATGAAAAAATAATAAACCTATAATAAATCAAATTTAGTTTATTTACTTATTAACATTAACATTTACATTTATAGTAATAGACATTTCGTTTTTTGTATTTAACTTCCTTTCCGTTAATAACAACTCTTGTAGTATTGTTGTCATCACTTTCCGAAAGCATAACATCTGCCGAAGTTTGTGAAGAATTTGCACAAGTTACGGATGTCTCTTCTTGTAAGGAACAGTTATATTTTCCTTGGATTTTGGATTTTCCTTGCAAGATCAAGTTTGTTAAATGTTGGTTAGACTCCTCAATATAATTTTCTGCTACAGAGGAGCTCTTCCATCCACCATGCCGTTTGATGATTGTAAGAACAGCACCTTTATTGGCCAATAAAGTTGTTGAAGTGCGCCTCATACAATGGTCAGTATATGCTTCTGGATGATTTGCGATATTCAGGAATGAAGCAACTATTGAGGGTACCTTCGCCAGTGTGTTGATTCCAACAGACTAAGAAGTATATTTTTGATTGATGTATCGTAAAAAGAATGTGTCTTGTGTTAGGCGAATTGGGCGCAGAGAAATATATTTTCTACATATTTCAACAGCATTCACGCAAAATCCTTCTTCTATAATTGTAAATTTTCTTGAAATGCCAGTCATGGTGTCAGGTATCGAAACAAGTATTACCTTAATCATTCTTTATCGGAAGCCCCAGTCAAAAATTTTTCAATATGGCCTTTTTCCAATATATGCTTTGTATCCTCTCGATTCGCTCTTCAAATAGGCAGTAAGCTTGTTATATTTTCTAATATCTATATATTTGTAGACCTTTATAGTATATAGTTCAACATCAAATGACCACATAGATGAAATTGCATATTTTTTCTTCAAATTTAAAAAATACGATAGCATGACTTCTTCATTTATTGTCATTACTCTCCGTATTTCCCTTCATTTGTTAAATTCAACTAACACTTTTTCGTAATGTTCCCTGGATTTCGCGGGTAATAAATGGAAAATTGCTTCTTGAGCTTCTTCAAAAACAGCCACAGGAACACAATTACTTTCTTGCATTTTTACCAAATTCAGATATAACTGTTTATTAAATAATTGATAATAAACAACGTACCATAGTGAACAGTTGATATAACAAAACCTACCACGTTTTATTGAGTATTAGTAAGAAATATCAAGTCGTGCGAATATTTTTTTTAAATTTTAATAATTCTAACTCCACAAATATGATTGTGATGTGATTATGGATAAAACGTTGTATTGCATTCGTGTTTTAATTGCCTTTATCTACTTAAGAATATTAAACACTCGTTCTCCCGTTTAAACATTCTTGCGTGGATAAAATGCTATTTAAAACACATAACTATAATTTATAAAATATTTAGTGTTTTTGAAATTTTGAAATTCTTAAAGACCATGATTTTTTGTATCTCCGACACTGATTGAGAGGTTCGTATATCAGTTCAATGAATTTTTACCTTTAACTAGATAAACTAAGGTTTCATCAATCTACGTCAAGCATCTTCAGCTATATTTGAATTAATAAGTATATATTTTTAAATTCAACAATGTGTATCTTGAAAACCGGTGGTTCTAAACCCATGGTTCACTAAGGCTTTTTGGTATAAGATGAGCCAAGCAACAGCCTCCTTAGGTTATGACATTAACTTAAAAACACCCTATATAAAGTTCCAACCATTTGTGTACGATTTAAATCCTCTCACTGTTAGCAGCAGAATAGCTCTAAATATAAAAGAGGTTACCTACACTGAATTTTCAAGTATTATTTGTTTATAAAATAAGGTTATGGTCAATAGTCATTCGTTGTTTATGTTGGTGGTGGATCATTTTATTGCATCTCTAATGAATATAAAATGTGAAAAGTGGTTATTATTTTTCTGCCTATTGGCCAACCACATGATTAAAGAGTGAAACTGGTACTAATCTTAACTTCTTTTTAACAATACCTTTAATTACATGCATAAACGTTAGCATTACTCGAAACAATAGAATAGGTAAAAACTTAATTGAACGCTTTAAGTATAAACTATACTAATAATGATTACACTATAGAATGTATAGAAGTTACAGTAATAATTTAAAATTAGATTAGAAACATAATACCCCAAATATATTACAAATTAAAATTTGATGCACAAGTATTAATTAAACGATGATCAGAAATAATACCATGAGTAAAAAATAACGTAACAATTGTCTACAAAATGATAAGAAAATGTGACGATTTTATTATTTTAGTTTATACCACTATTTTCTGAATATGGGAGTATTTATTGTTATCCTATATAGTCCAAGCATTATAGAGAAATGCTTACAGAAATTATTACCTGGACAAACAAAATATGACGTATAGAAAATTAAATTTTAAATTGAGTTTCTTGTTCTTTAAACTCGGTCCAAAATGGCGAACATGGTTAAAAAAAATCGCAAAGTTGCGGTTTTTCTAAAATAACTAAAAAAATATAGCACCGATTGAAAAATTTTAAAGGAGTTTAAGTTGTAAATTTTAAAAAGATCTATCGACTGATTTTTTGTAAGTATCGATTGCTTTGTTACTTTTCGAGATATATCGAAAAAACCGTTAAAAATCTTATTTTTTCTCTTCTTCTATAACTCGTTTATATCTACGTTCCCATATTTACTATTTACTGCAAGCATAGCCCGCGACAAGCCAAAAAAGTACATTTTTGAAAAATTTAAAAATATTAATTATTTTTCGAGATATATCGATTTTTTGAAAAAAAGGCGCTCTCGAAAATTGGCTAGATCTTCTCAGCCGATAGCCCTACAATAACGATTTTCGGTTTATTTTCTTCGTAAAGAGTCATATTATCATGCTGTTAAAAAATGTTGACTATTTTATTAATTTTAAGGATAAAAAAATGACTGAAAAAGTTGCACTTTTTTTGGGTACGTTTTTTTCAAATAACTATTTTAATTTTTATTTTATGAAAATGACTTTTAAAGATAGAAACTGCTGACATTTTTGCACGAATTTAAAAAAAAAAACAATTTCTACGACCTTCTGCATGGAGCCGAGATAATTTTTTTATTTTAAAAAAATTTTGACGACGCAATTAACATTTTACAGCGATGCGCTTGATGGAGGTTAATATTCAATACTTATATTTTCAAAAGCGTGCAAGCGCCGAGTGCGTCAGCTGGACCGGACGTAGAAGTAGGGGGAAGCGGCGCGCGCTCGCTCTGAAAACTGATGACGTGCAGAACCTATAAATGGCTCGCGTTTGCAAAATTTTTTATATCTCGGCTTTTGGACCACGTACAAAAATTCTTTTATACTTAATCTGGGGCAGCTAAACACGAATATTATAGTTACTTAATTTGTTTGCTTCATTAATCATTCATTCATTCATTCATTAATAATTAATTAATAATTCATTAATAATAAAAAATATAAGTTACTCGCTGTAAAATGTTAATTGCGTCCTCAACTTTTTTTTTAAATAAACAAATTATCTCGGCTCCAGAAGGTCGTAGAAAAACATTTTTTTTTAAATTCGTGAAAAAATGTCAGCAGTTTCTTTCTTTAAAAGTCATTTTAAAGAAAGAACTGAACTTAAAAAAGAACTGAAATCACACTTCGATATTCGAACAAATTACGTTTTCCTTACTAAAAAGATGTCGGGCCTGTTTTCGTGGAAATGGATGTATTTTTGAGCATTTACTCAAATAAAAAATCATTAAAATGATGACTAATGTTATTAATTTATTAATTCGAATAAATAACCGAATGATTAGTGTTTGTCATGTCATTTAAGTAAAAGTGTTTTCAGTTCGTTTTTTAAGTTTTACTCGAAAATCTGGATTTTTTCGAAAAATGTAAGAGTGTAGTAATAAAGACGAATCCGAAAATATAATGATTGTTACCGTAAAGCAGTAGCGTACTATTCTATTTAGAAAAATATTACACCGATATCCTGTGTCTCCGCCACTGGAGCATCTAAATTTTAGGAAAAGGCCCGAAATTTTGGACAATGTGTACATACATACATGTGCCCAATTTCAAATTATTTCACTTACTAGTTTTTGAATTATTTAAAAAATTTAAAAACATTTTCTTAAGTTTAACACCCTGTATCTTTTTAATGAAGCGTCCTAGATAAAAACTATACGAAAGACTTCCCTTAAAACTTACCAAAGAATACGAGGTTTCATTTTTGGTCACTGTTTGTGATCAAACTGTATATTTGTTACCCTTCTATATGGCTTTCATTCTAGCTTTATCAACGAAATTTTTGAACTGCTTTTTTATCTAAGGGTTCTATCCACCGGAGGTCTTGGAACTAATTTTAATGTGCACTGAAATCCCTTATCTGTATAATATACCTCCTAATTGTTGTATTCTGACCCTACGTTTTGTAACTGAACTTATTAAATTATTATATTGTTAAATTATTCTGATGCATTTATTTGCCTTTTGTAGGTCTATAAATGATTTTAGTTTATGCCATAACTTGTCCTTGTGAGTTTCATCCCAATGTCAATATTAGTAACGTGCGCGTAGTAATTATTATTTTTGACTGATTGTAGACGTTTGCCCTAGTCGTGGGATGGCGTGCACGCCTGTGGGCGTTCGGCTGTTTCCCTTGCAATCCACTGCTATCTTCAACTATTGTTTTCGTACCAGTCAATATTAAGTGAAGTTTACTTATATTAGAATTAGATTATTCCCAAATAGTCGATTGTCCGCAACTGATAACTGCAGCACAAAAATTGAAATCCGTTTTCTTAGGAACTATGTATTTTAGCGATATGCAAAAAGTATAACTTTTTTACAGTAAATAATAGAAGGGATAGTTTTCTTAACTTGTTTGTCAGAAAAAGAAAACAGAACATTGGATTATTTTATGACTATTTATAACTATTAGTGTTATTACATAAAGTATTTACACATGTCAAAACCAGGAAATTATTCCATTAACTACATCATATTAATATAAAATAATTATAGAGAAACATGTAAGAGTGTATAAGACAGAACATAATAGTATACATACAGTTAAAAAATTGAATTGAATTGAAATTGAACAAAAACAAATCTTTTATTAGTATTATGGTACTAAATATGTATTTAGTTAATTGCATTGTATTGGTCTGAAGAAACTTTTATGAAATTTTGATTTACCCTTCATATAAATTTTATGTCATAAAAATTTAAGAAAATTTTGAAATGCGTACTTAGTAAATAATAAAAAAATGATTTAAAAAGTGCAATTTAAATAATTGTAGTTTTTTTAGGGACATATTCAAAGGAACTTCTTTTGAAAAAACATTGTCATAAGAATTCATACCGCAACTGATTATTTAAAAGCTACATGTAAGTGTGAGAATTGATCTTTAGTTCATTTAAACTTTTTGTGTTGATTTTGACAATTATTATAATAACAAATTTTGATTCTTTTCCATCGAGTAAATAATTAAATTATGACAACTATTGAAATAATTAAGAAACGATGATGAATATATGTCATACTTTGATATTTACATTTTACACCACTGAACTACAATTTAGGCATTTAATGACCATTTTCGAGCAACTGTTTGCCGTAACAAAAATCAACTTACCACATTGTACTCTGCCGCCAGATCGTACCAACAATTGGAGTTGTTTTTAATAGTGTAGTAATCCTTAAATGTGGGGCACACATTGTTCTCCTGCCCGAGCACTGTACAGAAAACACAGAAGATAACCAGTGAAACCGAAAACGTTTTCATGTTACTGTATCAATTATCGCTCATATTTTGTCTATGGACATTTAGAAGTTCGTTTATAACACGCTGAAAGACCTTGACTGCTGTCTAGTAATATTATTAAATGTATAACAAGGACTCATACTGAATGCTTAAAAAATGCAGTTCCAGTTTAGATTTAGGCCTGAATTCAGAAGATTTGATCAGATGTTTATTTTGTATTCATACAATTAGGGGTCGCTTTTTGAATAAATAGATGGGTCAAGGATTGTCACTGAAATTTACTTTCCAGCAGGCAATTTACTTAGACATAGCCACGCGTAATTTTTTGTCATTCCCCAGTTCCTTTCCATTTCAGTTTTAGATAATGGCGGCAAACAAGTATGTGATATATGTGTGCAAATTATACAGAGTAGCCAAATCAAAAATATCGGCTCTTTCAAGTTTTAGTATTCGAAATGTGAATATACAAGTAGATATACTTCAAAGTTATATGTCATGTTCTATCGCTATATTTTTTAAGTATACAATTTAATAATAGCTACATAGGTATATCTATCTAAAAATTTATTACAAGATCGAAAATGTGTTACAGAAGGTTCATATTTTTATGATATATCGTATGAATATCGGAGTTAAAGAAACAAATTAACTATTACCTCCAATTTTTATATACTGAAAATTTCTAACAGCTACCAGATTATCTTAGTCTGAATAATAACTGCATCTTTCTCTTTGTTTCAGGAGTTAAAAGTACTTTTGGTGAATTAAAAGTGACATTTCACTCCGTCAAATTAAATGCCGACATCGTATTTTTAATTCACGAAGTGGAATAGTATTTTCATCCCTGATTTGAAGAAATGGCTGTTTCATGTAACTGATCTGTGAGAAATTATATTAGAAGAAATTATTACCAAGCAAAATAATTAAAACAAGAAATGAAAAAATCAATTGAAAAATGCAAAAATTGCTCAAGTAAAGGAACAAATCAAGTTCGCGGACAAATCAATCATACCTAGTTTATTATTCTTGCAAATGCATAGCAAAACAACAGCCCAGTGGAAGCCAGTCTGGTACCAAACAGCGAGAACATATCTTACAGGCAATTAAGAGCTAAACAAGACAACTCAAAAACATAAAAGCTGATGTGCCTCAAGGTAACGTACTGGGCCTAGTCTTGTACGTGCTGCTTGTTAGCGTTGAGTGAGATACTAATTTTCACTCAACGATACTAGCGATATACTTCCGATACATAATGTTACTATTGTTACCTTGGAAGACAATACCTTAGAAATAGAGAAAGATAAGTAGTATTTATTACTATACGCAAACAATAAATGTAACTGGGCAAAAGATTGGAGATGGCTGAACAATTTTCGGGTTGGTTTCCACGTCGTCGGTTCAGGCTTCTTGACATTTCGAGTGACACATCACTCTCATCTTCAGAAGAAACTGTTTAAGAATTTCTAAGTCTAATTGTAAGTAAAGTCCATGAGTGAACCTGTAGTAGTACGGTAATAAAATTTAGACAATCTATTAGTCACCAGTTGGTGAACATTAGACTTTAAGTTAAGTACAATAAATCTGGATATTCCTGACCAATATTAACGTCTTTAAAAAAATATCCCTTGTTTTAAATGTGTGTAAGATTAAGGTAGAAGTAAGGTAAACGTGTTAAGGCAAGTTAAAACAAGGAGTTAAAGTACTTAAAGCGGATTAACTCTTAATCGTAGGCATCAACATCAAAAAAATTTCAAGTTAAAATTTTGGCATTTTGGGAAATGGTTCTGTATAATAAATTTGTAGCAAATTTTTACATTCGAAAAATTAAGTAGATCTAATCAGATGCAAAAAAAAACATATGTTCTATGTAGTTGTAACTGTTATTCACAATAAGAATGTATGTATAATGTAATTAGGAAGCCAGGCCTTTTAGGGTGTATCAATAATAAATAAATAAATAAATAAATGTGCATATACCTAATTGAGATAATCGATATACTTTGATATTTTTAGTTTGAAAAATCACTAAAACCACTAAAATGAAAAGCTACAACCAATTTTCAACAGATTGGATTACAACCCAAATATCTAGTAAATAGCTGAAATGATTCGTCAGCAGCGTTACCATACATAGACATATTTCGAAATTGGTAGGTCGCTCTTTGCCAGTAGGTACAAAGTAATGCTTTATGAAGTGCATTGAATAGAAATGCTATTTAAGATATCACATACATGTAGTATGTTATACCTTACCTACACAGGATTTGAAAATAAAAATTTTAAATCTGAAAAACTTTTCTTAATCAATTTTTCTTTTTATCTTATATGAAAAAGGCACTTTACAAAAACAGAAAATAATTTTTCATAATTCAAAATATGTTACACATTATTTTTTAACCAAGAAGATTCATTTCCAAAACTGTCGAATTTCTGCTCAAAAATTTCCGACTTAACACCAACGATTCAAATGATCTGGGGACACCCTGTAGGTACAAGTTAAATGTTAGCTATTTATATGTTTCTTAATTAGGCCTAGTGTACTTGTATTATTGAGTTCTGAGGATAAAATTATTACTATGTTTAATTTCTTAATCCTCTATATGTTGGGTCACTTAAAACTATATTGTTGTGAATTTGAATAATATAAGCAGAACTTTTTAACAAGCGTGACATTTCATAAAATGAAAAATAAAATTTTTTTCCACTTTTGAACTCCATCCGCGGTCACATGTATAGGACTTTGTTAATATTTATAAAAAAATTGTTAGAAATTTGAAAATTTTAAGATGTTATCTACAAACGTGACAGATACTATAATTACCCTTCACTATACGAATATTATTTGAATATGTCTTTAAATTTTTTATAACCAGTTTGTAGAGCAATTTGCAAGAGTTTTCAACATTTAGAATGTATATTTTCAAATTGGGGTCGCTTGAAAAGAAATATGCTTGCTGAAATCGATTGCCATTTGAAACTGCTCTACTAATGGGCCTATAATTATGATTTCTGGTATTATATCAAATTATTTTTGTGTATTAATAATATTAGTTTTCGACTGGATAAAACCATGCGTGACGAATATTGAAATATCACAAAAATGAGTGAATCATACAAATTAGAAGACAATGTAACTTGAAGATAATGGCCAGAATAGTCTTGAACTATGATGTTAAGCAGTAGAAGACGATACGTAAGAAGAAGGAAAATGTGTGGAGGAGGTATTAGAAAGACAAAAAAGAAACACTAGGTTTAATATGAAGGGGAATATTATGAAAAACCTGATTACCTGAAATAAGAACTAGAGCAGAAGTGAGATTGCCATTTTTAATAATTTTTATTTATAAACAGACAGAGTTGACTGATTTCAACGCGTTGGCTATGCGTCGCTTGAATAATGCGGAGCTGTCCTTGAGGAACTCCTTGGGGTCCTTATGCTTTAGGTTTGTGATGACTCCTGTTCGAATACGTCCATCAAATGCATTAGCCGAATCATCCCAATGGACGTGATGCTTAGCAGTTTTCTTAGGGTCGGTAGAACAGCCGGCACCCGTCTTCTTTAAGAACTTAAATTGACAGCTAAAGCTTTTGATTTGAGCCAGCTGTGTCAATAGATGCTGCGTTTCACCGATTGTCTTGGCAGTTTTCTACTGATTTTTTATATTTCTCACAGCTTTCGTACACTGCCGAAGTCCATCTCTAGCGGTTTCTTCACTGTACGATCCAGCAAGATCAATAACAGCAATAACAATGGCGTCTAATCTAAGGGAACTATGTTGATAACGCTCTTAAATCTTGTTACTTGAACTGGTTTCCTTAGTCGACAGTATGCTCGAATCAAAATAAATTCAAAAAATCATAACGGTTTTTCCCTAAAATTATTCTTAAGGGCTGAAAAGTTGCAGCACCCGAGGTGTCCGAGGTGCAACCCAGAAGACTCAGACTACATCTCTCTATTACAGCTGCTGATTAAAATCCTACTACTAAATCTGGATATTTGTATGTATCCCAGGGCCTTTAGGCATTTGCGAAATCAGCCCTGTCGAAGGAAGAAAAAGGGTTCTTTGATCCATCAAAGATCAAACCTGAATCAAAAACATTGAAAATGTAAAATCCAAACTTGGTGCAATACAGTTTTCTCATAGAAGAGGTAAAATTTGAATAAAAAAACTAACAGTGAAGAATCTGGAAGACTGTAAGGGATTTCAAGGAATTTCAATAATCAAGAGAAAGTTATTAATTTTAAAAATAATACATATATGGTCAGCAGTGATAGATAAAAGTCAATTATTTTGTTTTAAACATGATTCTAGTTTTTTCTGTTTATTTGGGTAAATAATTAAATAAACGTGTACACCAAATGGATCAGTCAGTGTCTATTTTATGAAATTATGTTTGCCTATTCAAAAATGTCCGAAGAAAATAAAATGATTTACCATATTTAGAAAGTTTCATTAGAAAACAATTCACACTAATATATCTAAATTTTCATTTTGATTGTCATACTGATATAGAGAATGCAATACTAATTATTATAGGTCTATACGATAGAGCTAAATTGATTTCCTCAAAAGGCAAAATCTTTAATCTTTATTCACATCTGGAAAAATACCCAATAGACTGAGAAAAACCATAATTATTTGTACATAATTATGGATAAATTGATTCTTTATACTGTCTTTAATTCAGGTAGAAGTGATGTTGCGCAAACTTTAAATTATACTGATATTCATATGGGTTTAAGAGTCAAAAATGTTTAAAATATTGTCATGAGTTATGGGTTTTGGACTATTGTTGATGAATGATGCGCTGTACGGAAAACTGTACTTCAAATTTGTAACTACTATGATGGAACAGCACTGTTTGGAGTTTACATCATCAATGGTTTTTGAGTAATTGGTCAAAATCTATGAATCTCGATCAATCATCAAAAGATTGTACAGCCTTTAGGAACCGCTATAGGAAAAAACGTAATTTTTTTGTTCATTTTGACAAAAGCAAACAGCCAAAGTTTCTCGTAACGGTGCACTTTGTATTTAATTAAAAACTGTATTTCCTTGTCTTAATTGGGATAAGTA